GTTAATGATTATCCTTTTCCATTAAATAAATAAATTATATATGGATGATGTGAAAATAATACTTCAATGTATTCTGGCTCTATGAAAAAAAGTTACTCACTTTACAACATGGAGTAAAATAAACAGGCCTCTCTCTTTAGGAGAGTATAATCCTTTAATTCATCTAGGGACACTAATCCAAGCAAATGTGTTCCACATCTCCATGGCAATGAAGAAAGTTTTCCTAGAGTTAATAGGTATTGGCCATTATAAGTTAAAATTTTAGGGGTTTTTTTAATCTCACTTTCTGGGTTTGGTGCAAGAAGAAGTTGAGGCTCAAATCTAAAGTGAAGTATGTGGCAATGATGCCACATACAAAACAGGTTTTGAGTGGAATCATTCCATTTACTTTTCTGATATTTTTGTCTTCTTTTGAGTATGCAGTAATTATTGTGAGTATATAGTCATTCTATAGCCATAGTATATAGTCATTCTATAACTATCAACTCAAACACATAAAGAAAAATTCATACCTCTTCTTTACCTGTACAGCCACAGTTGCAGAGAATTTATTTTTTAAGAAATAGAAATAATTTTTAAATCGTGACGCTGAAACTCAAATTCATATATCAATTTTGAAAGATCAGACTCTTTCTACAGCCTACTTTGTCCGTTTTGCATAATCAGCTGATGACTAGGAAATAAAAATTGGTCTGGTTTTGATGAATTTATCACAGAGAGCATAGTCCTAAAAAGCAGACCCCCTCTAATTTAAGGTGTCTTATTTTGCTTGTCATTTAGAGATTGTTTGCCAAAAAGACACATGAAGATTTCAACTTATGGAGAGAATTGCCTCACCTATAAGGAATCTCAGAGGAAGAGTTTTGCTCTTGCAAGGAAAATTCTTGTGAGACACCAAAAATATCCTTTGCTTTAGTATATTAGTTGAGGAAGTTTTCATGGGTATGAATCCAGCCCTCTGTTTGCCTTCAAATTAACCATGGAAGCTCCACTGTAACCTCAAATCTCTAGCCATTCTGTAGTTTTGTGATTTCCCAAACATCTGCTGGGGACTTTGAAACCACCACATTCATTTTCTTATGAGCTAAGCTGCAATTTAACTCAGGTCTCTGAAGATGAAAGCCTGGGAAGCCTCCACAGAGAGCAGAACACTTTCCAAATCAGTTCTCAGCTTGTGGAGCTGGGAACAGCTGGCCTGCTCTCCCCTTTGGGCTGGGAGGGCTGCTTGTTTCCAGCTCCCTGACAGACATCTGAGGAACCCACATTTCTCTTCTTTTTTTAACTACACCTACTTCCTGAGGCAAAGGGCCACAGTCCCTATCCATATGTCTGGAAAAGCTGGAAAGAAACCTGGAATTTGTAAGGTTGTTGGGTTATTTCAGTAAACTATTTGAGGTCTGTGTGTGTTACAGAAAGGGGAATAAATTCCCCACAAAATCAGGACAACTAGAATCTGTCCTTCTTCTTCTTTGTAGATGTCATAGTTCTTGCTAAATCATAAGGCGTCCTAGTCGATTTTAACTCTGGCATGGAAAAGAAATTTATAAAAATGATACCAATAAAACAGAAAGGTTTAGGTTCAGAGTATTTCTGCACATGGATGTTTAAGAAACTGGTTGATGCCAAAACTAATTGTGTTAATAGTGACATTTTCCATAGAAAGGTGTCACCAAGTCTAGCATAAACTCAGATACCTCAGATTAAAGAAACAACCTTCATCTTGGGTGGAGGGAGCCCAGACTCAAGTCAGCTCTCTCTATGATTTGGAGACTTTCACAAAGTGTGTGACACAGCCGCCAGACATTATAAGGCAGCTGTCAGTCTCTTTTAACAAACTCCTTGGAAAGAAGGCTTGATTTTTAATGTGGAAAAAATGTAGAATGTGAAACCTCAAATATTTTCACCAGACAGAACTCACATTCCTTGACCAGCCCAGCTGGAAGTTGTTGTCAAGGTCGCTGTTTGTCAAAGGGCTCAAGAAGAAGGAAAAGCCTCATTCTGTTGTTTTTGCAGCACCTGAACAGTGGAGCCCTGGTCCATGCCTGTGGCTCTTTGGTCTGACACATGACTCCTCGGGAACACACAAGTAAATAATACTTAATGGTAATCTCACAAATAGTCCCTTTAGGGCCACAGCTAATGTAGTGCACTTAAAATTAGGCATGTGCTCAATTATAAAGTTATTATTGAATCAGAGGCTTTGGGGGCTGAAAATATGATTAAGGAGTATTTCTGCTTAAGAAAAGCCCCTAGATTAAATGTTGAGGGATTTTTTTAATATAAAGCTCAGACATATCGTATAATTTTAGAATATTACTTTCATTTTTAACAAGCTTGTCCAAGCTATAAAGTTACAAATGTCTTCAAATGGTGTTTAGAAAGAGTATACTTTTCAGATTTCAAAGAAAAAGAGAGGTCTGCACTCAGCACATTAAGAAATTCAGAGATTTTTTTCCAAGCATTTTGTTTTTCTTAGTCTAGAGCTTTTTAGGTTAAGATCCAATTAATACATTATTATTCAAATCAACTAGAGTATTAAATGAAACAATGTTGACTCAACCTTCCTGTAACTTTATGTTTCATGACAGTTATCCCAAAAATTAATTAGATCTTCTTGACAAAGCAAATTGGTGATGTAAGTGGTGCTAGAAGTAACACTTTGAATGGAAGCTACTCAAAAATCCCATCAAGTGTTACCATAATGAGGTGCCAGGAGTGTTCCTGTAATTAAGTGCTGAATTTGGCTGTGGCATGGGCCGACCTTGCTATTGACACAGGAGCTGTGCCCACATGCAGTGGAAGTGATCCCTGCCCCAGGCTGAGCCTGTGTAGGCTTCCCTGATCTTCAGTGGAATTTCAATCCAGTAGTGAGCCTGAAGTCAGGACTGGGAAACCAGTGCATGGTACAGCTTGTTGAAAGCAGCTCTGCAGAGTTTCATGCCAAAGCAAGGAAGTGTGATGCAGCTGAGGTACTGGGACAGCAGGAGCAAAGGGAATAGGAGGGACAGTGCACATTGACTAACTTTTCTAGGTTACCTGAGCTTTCAGTGGAGAGACACTGGCACTGCCAGAGGCTTTGGGTGGGCTGTTTCGTGCTCTCTCTCCTCATAGACTGTGGTGAGAAGCCAGGCAGAGCAAACAGCAAATATAAGGAGAACCATGGGCACCTAAGCCGGCATAATAGGAATACCTTCTACATCTTCACTTGCAGTCACATCTGACCCCTTCCAGAAAACAAATGTATTCTCTCTTTATAATCTTGATGTCTTAATTAATAATTAAGCCTCTAAAATGTGTAAACAAACTTTAACTTTATGAAGATTTCAGGAAGATAATCCAAAACCTTTATGTAACAGGTCTTTATAAACAAGTCCTCTCTTTGCCTGGAGGATACTGTGTATTTCATATAAGAAGATTATTTGTAAAATTGGTTCTGGTCCAAATTTAGCATTTGCTTAAGCTTAATAAGCTCTGTAATGTGCTTACAGGTTAATGCATGTTTAAACACTGTTGGAAGGAAAGAAAAGAATACTGATGCAGAACCATAAGGCTCATCAGACTGAAGGAACAATCAAGGGGTGAAATATAGTTACTTGTCACCTGAAAGTAATCCCTGTTGTTGTTCACCACTGACTCATTATCCCAGTGGGAAAGGTGACATGGCTGTGGAGGCAACTAGCCAGGGCTGAAAGCTGCTTTACCTTCTTACGCTCTTTTAGCAAAGTGCAAATGGAAACATAACTCTGAAATAAGTTCTTTCTTTTTATTCTAGACATGATTAGAACTTTTAACCTTTTTTTTCTGAGTCTTTACACATATATGTAAGCTAAACATGCAACTGCTGGAAGGGAAGTACTTTCTTCTGGTTGTATATAGAATGTTGACTTGACACTGAAAAAATCACTCCTTCCGAAACAAGTTTTCTTCTTCTTTTTGTTTTTTTAACAAAAGTCAGCACTTTCTACAGAAAGCTAATATTTTTGAGGGGTTTTGCACTAAAAAATTTTATTTCCTCATATATTTATACTCTAGAAAACCACGTGAACACATTATTTTCTATCTGATTTGTTGCTGAGGTAAAGCAGGAATAATTAAGACAGTCAACACATGTCTTGGTATTGTCAGGTGGATCTTTGATCATTTGAATCTCTAAGGAACCAATATGTGGATATATATGGTATCAGTGGTTCACTGCCCTTTCCAGTGATCCTTTGGATCATTAAATGCAGCTGGAAGGAGATAGTTTCAAATCCTCCTGAAAGGACCCAGTTGTTCACTTCAATGTGAGTTAAGCTGTGATGCTCATTTCTGTAGAATGATGCAGATTCCTAAGGTTTCCAGGATTTGAAGGAGAAACTAAATAAATCCATCTTATTTAATTTGGCTGAATACTAGTAATGATGTATAAATTATGTTTATAATTATTCTTCTTCTTCAAGAAGACCAAGATACAAATGGTTGGAGGACGAGGAAGCACTCATGGGAGTCATCATATGTGTTGGGACTTCTTTCCTCCTGGCATTCTTTGCTAACAGATGCTGGCAGCAGCAGCAGTGAGAGGAGATGCTGCACCAGGTGGACCCTCTGACCCAGTACTTGTGCCCTTGAACATGCTGGTGTTCACTGCAGTGCTTTGTATGGCTGCAGAGCATGATGTGTGAAACACCTCCTGAAGAGACCTCACTTCTCACTGGTGTGTGTTAGAGCTGACACCACTCAGTACTCACCAAACCAGACTTTCCTCATTTGAGTTAGAAACACCTGATTGTTTATTTGCAAGTCCTGCCTCCTGCAAACAATTGCAGTACTCATACAGTACTCAATTCAGTAGTTTGCAAAATCCGAAAGAGGGGACTGAAAATAAAACAATTTATACACAGAAAGGAGAAAAAAAATGCCAAACCAAATATTTTAGAAAATGCAGTTTTTAAATTTGAAGGTGGAAAAGGAAAATGTAAAAAAAAAAAAAGTTTTGCTTATCATAAGGTTTTGCTTTGTAGGTAAATGCATCCCGCCAAGAAACCAAGCTGATGGAAGAATGTGACCAACTTATTGAAATAATCCAGCAAAGACGGCAAATAATTGGAACCAAAATCAAAGAAGGAAAGGTAAAAGCTTTTCTTAGATCACAAGTAGGTCAACACTGTTTCCTTTTGACTGCAGCTTTTTTGACTGCAGATAGTATTGGTAGAAATTTGCAAAAGTCCTTATGTAGTTCTTGGCTACTGACTGATACTTTCATGTAAAGAATCAAATCCTTGAAGACTAGTACTCCAGACCTCAACTGTTTATTGGCTATTTCTCTTACTACAGGTGATTATGGATTTTAAGGATAAAGCCAGAAATTTTGTCATACTTGGTAAATGACAAATTATGTCCCCTTAATGTTTCCTTCACTCTGTTATGTGCCTGACAGTATTTCCCCCAAAGTGTTAACTTTCACAAAATGTCACAGCATATAGAATCATGTCTCACAACTATCTTCTTTTTTTTTCGGTATTTTATCTTTTTATTCAAATACTATCACACTAATATTTTGTTCCAGTCATTGTCATTCATGAGGATTTGAAATCTTAACTTATTTACAAAAAAAGATATTCAAAAGTGTGAAAGAAATTAAATTCGGTGTACATTTCTAATTCCCAAAGTTCCGTGATTATTAGTAGCAAACACATTGAGCAGGAAAAATCTCTGATACTCAAGTTTCAACATATTTTTCTAGCTAACTGTTAACTCAGAAATGCATTAGAGTTTAATTAATGTTTTTATTTTGTAGGTGCAAGGTGTTTACTGTTTAACTCCTAAAGTAACTAAGTCAGATATTCATTCTTCTTGTGTGGGAAAAGCTCGGGAAAAGAATGAAGTCAAGAGCAGGTTAAGTGGTTCATGTGGATGTCAAGATATTCCAATTAACTTGAAATGAAAACTCTGTAGGCAAGGGCTAACTTAAACACGTTTGAAACCACAGGTCCTGTACACTGTGTGAAAAAACCTGAATTTCCTCATGCTGTTAACAAAATATAATTCCCTTCAAATAAAATAGATGGCCTTCATTTTTGTTTCAACTCCTTTTCTCTATGCAGAGAGACCAGGTGTGCTACCAATGAAGTAGAAAACCTACCATTCATCTGGATTTGTGCAATATACACATTGCTTTTAAAAACTCTGTTGCTTGCAAAAATTACTCTAATGTCCATTAGCATGGAAGATTTGTAACACAATTGATGCCAAATTTGTTTGAATAGAGCTGTTACCAGAATCTGTCCCCATTCTTTGTTCTCTTTTGTTGAGCTGAAAGTTACATCAGTGGAGGTCCAGTCAAGGTCTGGAATGCTTTGACTCAAATGTTATATATATTAAAAGACTTCAAGGTCTCAAGAGACCCATGTGAAAAGCCACAGGAAGTTCTGCCCAATGTATCTTCCTTTGAGAGGGCCTATGGCTAAGGGTCTTTCTGGAAGGGAGAGCATGACAAATTTCTCTGTAGGACTGTAGGTGTGGCTACAGAGCTGGAAACACACACTAACCTCTAGCTGTGCCTGCAAGGCTGCAGCTTCAGTTACACACAAGTCTGAACACCCTGTGCAGCTCCACACTGAATCTCACCTATCACCCAAACCCTACAAAATCCCACAGAACATGTAACAGGGAAGAAGCAAATATCAACTAGGTAAAGTAATCCTAGGGCAGATGTCATTCCTACCATTGCAGAAGTGGGTGGGGACTGAGCGAGATGAGACTCTTCCTTTTTCAATTTATCATCTTCCTCTTCTTGAAGGTAAAAGAAAGAATCAATCAAGTGAAAAATATAGCTCATATATAGACATCTCAAGTCATGACATGCCTTCTACTGCAGAAAACTCATAAGTTAAAATTTACTTCAGTTCTCTGTTTGCTTGTTAATTAATTAGTAAATAAAGAGATGAACTTCTTAACACTGCAGTGAACCTTTCCCTGGTTAGGCTGGTGTAGACTGAATTGTAATCTCTGCAAATGCAGTTACAGGAAACAGTGTGGCATTAGTTAGAATGATCAAATCATTAACATTACCAACCTAGAAGCTGATCAAATAATTAGCATTACCAAAATCTGGGCATTCCTAGCATTTTCTTCTCTATGCTTTTTCTGTCTTTAAAAACACACAAATATCACATGACACAAATAATTAAGCCAGTATCATTCTGGAATTTTTAAAAAAATGTTTATTTTCCTACTTGTTTTTGTTGTCCGATAACTGCACTAAGATACCCTCATCACTGTTTAGGATGCAAATATTTCTGAAAGTCAAATCAGCAGCTTCATAGCCTGTGCCCTAATTCCTGAGATTGGGAATATTATTTTGATTATAAATTTGGACATTTCTGCCAACCCACTTGGTTGTTAGTTCCCTCATTTTGCATGTAACTGAGTCTTAATGTGCCTTTCTAAACTCCAGAGTTATTTAATTTCCTTCCTTTTTCTTACTCCTGTTCAAACTATGATCCTGATGTGATAACAAAGGGAAGGACTCCCAGACCTTTCAGGAACCATTGTAGTTCCTGAAAGTTTTGTTAGCCAACATTATCTTTAACTGGAGGACTGTACCCTTCCCTAACCTTTTTGCTAATGATTACAGTCACATCTACTGTGTTTATCTCCAGCACATATGTTTGCAGTAATAATAATCAGCTCTCCAGCACTACTGTGCTTTTGTCCAGTTAAAAATATCCAACAAGTAAACACCCTCTTTTACTTAAAGCACATAATGAGGTCAGGCATGTATTGTTAACAGAATTGAACAGTCTTTTTCTGTTAACTTTTGTTTTCAGTTTTCTTCTTTTTATGAAACTCAATAGAAAAAATCTAGTTAATCTATAAGCAGCTTTTAACACAGATCTCATAATTTCTGGGAAATGGTTATCTAAATAGACCTTAGTTATCGTGTAAGCAGAAATTACCAGGAAATTACGTTCCTTCTGCTGGAAAATAGGCCAGCTGTGCTTGTTTTGGCTCTCCCCTGTTGTTTTCCATGTGGAAAATATTCAGGCAGAAAGGCTGTTCCTGTCCCTTATTAAAATGTTACATGGCTAGATGGAGTTCACCACAAAGCTTGTCACCAAAGCCATTCATCTTAACTCCTCCTTTGCCCAGCTTTACCTCTGAATTGCAAGCCCAGCCATGACTTGTGACCTCAGAGATGTGACTGCTTTCCTGTGTTTCCACTCAAGGTGGTGAGGCTGAGAAAACTGGCTCAGCAGATTGCAAACTGCAAGCAGTGCATTGAGCGCTCAACGTCCCTCATCTCGCAGGCGGAGCAGTCACTGAAGGAGAACGACCACGCTCGCTTCCTGCAGACTGCCAAAAATATCACTGAAAGGTAAGGGAGGTGTTCCTCTCAGTGAAAAGGAAAACCTCACTCTAAGGCAGATGTGTTGATGTATTATCTTGTCACATCAGAGATGTGGTCAAAGGCAGCGGGGTCATTGACATATTCCCCCAAAATTCTACTTTGTGCTATACCAGATTGGGAAGAACCTTACTATAGCGCTAAATCTAAACATCCCTTTGAGAAGAGGAGCAGTGAAAAAAGGGTGCAAATTAAGAGTTACAAGAACAGCATGCACAAATGAAAGAGTTTGAATGATTGCCAAGCAGATGTCTGATGTTAAACACACTTAAAAATCGGTTTATGGCTGAAATTCCTACTTCATGAAAATTCTGAGATTGAGAAAGAAATCAGGCAGTCAGTGCATTCATTAGAAGAAACTGGAAATTATCTTAATGGATTCATATTCTTCACAAAATAAAAAGCTACAAGAAAATGAAACTTGTAAATTTGTGAACCTGCACCATGCATTTTGAAGAGATGGGTATTCAACAGTCCAGGAGGTTTGGAAGTTACATCAGCTGTTGTGTTGGGCTCCTGGGTGCAGGGAATTTCTACTAATTTCAAGATCCTCTTCAGCGTGCCAGATGTATCAAGGATCCCAAGGACAAGGACCATGCTATCAGAAAATTTGGTCTGGTTTTCAGAGCAATGCTGTGAGTGCTGAAACATAGCCATTGAGTGTCAGCAGGATTTTCTGATGAAAAATATTCTGCTGGAATATCAGCTGTTTAGCAATCAGAATTTTTTCTTTTAAATTTTAAAAGTTTAAAGAAAGGAGAATATGGACAACAAAAAAAGACATCAAAAGTATGGGGTTTTAAATTTTTTTTAAAATAGTGATTTTTTAAGTTATTTTTTTTATTTCTGGGTTCACATTATATCTTCACATTTTCCAGCCAATTTCCCCAAATTCAAAACATGAAATTCCCTGCTCCTGTTACACAGTTTTTTTAAGTTTTTCCCTTACTCTGGTGTGCTGCATCAGTCTTCATCAAAGCTAATTACCAATTTATAAATAAGGCAGAAACACTGGGTTGCCCATTACAGGTTCAGAGAATTGAAAATCAGTTGAAAAAGACAAGGCCAGGCAAGGCAGTGGGTTATATGCTGTTTCTCAGACTGTGGTTTATATTCTGTCACCAAGCAACATTTTGGCATCCCAGTTGAAGTCAGTAGTAAAAGTACAATGAGTATCTAAAGCTGAAGGTGGGGTTTTCCCTTTTTTTCAGTGTTCAGCAGAAGCAGCAGTAGGGCAGAAACTTGTGGAGACCCAGGGCTTCCTAACTGACTACCACATAATATTCAGAGAAGCTCCATTTTGAACTTCTAAGCATGAACAATTGCATCATAAATACAATACTTTATACTTTCACAGGAGAGACACTGGGAGAGCAGAAATGAGACAAGCTGACACATGTCCCCAATCAAAAAATTCTTGGCTATCACAGATTGTTGTTTGTAATGAAATGGCTGTGAACACCCTGAAAATCCGAGAATCATTCCAAGCAGTGAATAAAACCAAGGGTAAAAAAGATACCAAGTGCTTGCAGACAAATTGCAAATGGAAAAAGAGGCTAAATAGAATTATAAATTATTCCTCACAAGTAACTCTCTTAGTTCTCCCATGGTGAGCAACATTTTGTTTGCTTTTAGACTGCTCATGTAACAGTCTCACTAGGGCTCTCAGCTCCAGCAGCTAAAGAAGTCTCCTGAAATCATGCTCATTGAATTTCTTTATCTGCACATTTCAAAGTAATTGCAGTAAAATATTTTCTGTTGTAAGCACAACAGGTAACTGCACAAGCAGAGTCATTACATTCACTCTGATGATTAAGTTGTGCATTATTTGCAGTGGATGAAATACATTTATCCTAGAAAAACCCTTTCCAATCAAATACAGTGTCAGTGTTTACAGTGTCAACAGTAGGCAGAATTACAGGATGAAATTCAATCCTCTGAACCTAATATGGTTCAGCATGGTGTCTGAAATTTTGAATAGTTGATCTCACCAAAAACTGACTGTAACACATGTAAATACAGAGCACCTTTCACATATCCCCTAAAACAGTCCAAAAAGACCTACTGGTATAAAATAAAATTAAAAAAAAAAAAATCTGTCCTAGGATCTACTTTAAGCTGAATTCTACTTTCACAGCTGCAGCAGAAACAGTGCTGAAAACTGTATAACAAGAATATTGACCAGGAAACCTCCTCAGCTCAGCTTTTGAAAACTACTATACAATGAGATGTACAGCTCTGGTTTTGACTTTCCTTATTGTATTTTCCTAAACTACTACACAAAATATACATGAAAAAAACATTCATCATGGAGTCATTTCACTCCAGTCTATAGAAAAAGAATAATATGGGAAAATTTTAAATTGAAGCAATCAAATATTTTGATCAGACATGTCAAAAATTATATAACAGACATAAATTTCATAACAGATAACAGACATAGATTGCATGCATAGTTGTCTGTTTATCTCCAAACTGAAACATTTGCCCAATTTCTGTTGTATAGCATAAGGTTTAGTGATCTCTCTCCTTAAACCAGTCAAACTTTCTGTAAACACATCCAGTATCCAGCTCTCCAGAAATATGCATTTGGTGAAACCAGGCTGAATGGACTGGAAAATGCATTTTTCTTGTGAAAGTTCATCTCTTTATATTAGTACATCTGGACAAAGAAAATGTAAATGTAGCTCCTGAAATGAGGTAGGTGAGGAAACTTTTCCATTTTGGAGGAAATACAAGTATGCACACATGCTTTGCAGGGAAAAGCCTTTTAAAATAAACCACGCTGACATCTATTTGTTTTATCTCCCTCCTGTGTCTTTTGAAGTTGGCAGCAGTGTGCTGTGCTGAGCAGCTGAGGAGCTGTGGGGACTGCACCAAGCCCTTGGGACAGCAGTGCCAAGGCGTGCCTGGAGCAAGAAGCTGCTTGGGAAAACAAGGGCTGGGAGAGATGCAGCATCTGTCAGGATTGGTTAAACACAGCTAATTACAGAGCTCTTTCTTCTTTGGTTCCATGGGTGATTAAAAGGAAAGATTCAAAGGATATTTTAGTTGGCCAATATTTTGTTAAAATCTTACCTGATACTGCGTGATAGGCCTAAGTTCAGTAAAAAAAAAAAATTATTGGAGATCTTGCTGTCAAAAATAAAAGTGGCAGGAGAAGTTCCTAACTTAAAGCATATAATTAAAATACGTATATAAGCTTTTATCAAGTTTTTTGAGAAGCTATAACAACCATATTGATCAAGTCCACCTTGATATAAAAGTCATTGTGTTTTGAGTGCTAAAAGACATTTTTCTTTTCATTTCAGGGTTTCCATGGCAACTGCATCCTCCCAGGTTCTAATTCCTGAAATTAATCTCAATGATACTTTTGATACTTTCGCACTTGATTTTACCAGAGAGAAGAAATTGTTGGAATGCCTTGATTACCTTACAGGTACTTTTTTTTTCTTGAAGTGCTACTATTATGTATTCCTCATAAAATAGTAGTGATAGGATTTTCTTCAGTTCTCCCTGTGGTTGTAACTTTGGCTGGTTGCCAGGTGCTCACTCCATCTCCTCAGTAAGGGGAGAAAATAAGATGAAAGCTCATGGGTTGAGATAAGGACACGGAGATCACTCAAGAATTACTGCTACAGGCAAAACAGACTCAGCTTGGGGAAGATAAATGTAATTTATTGCAAATTAATTGTAAAAGTAGGACACTGAGAAATAAAAACAAATCTAACAAAAAACTTTCCCCCACTTCGTCCTTCTTGGGCTCCACTTCACTCCCAGCTCTTCCACCTGCTCCCCACCAAGTTGGTGCTTGGGGATGAGAAATGGAGGTTGTGGTCAGTTCATCACACATCATCTCTGCCACTCCTTCTCCTGGTGCCCTTCCCCTACTCTGGCATGGGCTTTCTCCCACAGAATGCAGCTCTACATGAACTTCTCCAACATGGGCCCTTCCAAGAGTGCCATTGTCCAACAACTGCTCCAGAGTGGGTCCTTTCTGCCAGATGAGTCCTTCAGGAGTGGACTGCTGCAGTGTGAGTCCTCCATGGGCCACAATTCCTGTTAGAAACCTTCATCCCATGTGGTACTCTCTCTGCAGGCTGCAGCTTCCTCCAGGGCATACCAGCCTGCTCCAGTGTGGGTGCTCCAGGGCTGCTGGTGGACATCTCCTGCACTGCAGTCTTCTGTGGGCTACAGGGAAAGAGCCTGCATCACCGCAGTCTTCCCTACAGGCTGCAGGGGAATTTCTGCTCCAGCACCTGAGGCACCTCTTCTCCTTCCTCCTTCACCAATCTTGGCATCTGCAGGGCTTTGTCTATCACATTTCCTCATTCCTCTCTGCCCCCACTGCTGCACAGCCTTTCTTCCCCTTTATTTAAAGTGCTATCACAGAGGCACTATCAGCACTAGTGATGGGCTCAGCCTTGGACAGTGGCAGGTGGATCTTAGAACTGTCTGTGTCTGATACTGAGCCAGCTCCTGATCTTTTCTGACAGAGATAACCCTTGCAGCCCAGCCACTTCCAAAACATTGCTACATAAACCAAATACACTCTCCCTTGTAATCCTGAATATGTTACCTCCAACAGCCCCAGAACACCCCAGGAAGCATTGGGTGCTTCAAACAACTGCAATGCATTTCCCACCTCCTCTCCTTTCATTCTTCACCAACAGAGTGTGAGGAAGTAGGTTTAAGAAATTATTAAAAGCCACTGCAGCAGAGTGCAGTGAAAGAACAGCTGCAGCTCCGCCTGGAGCAGCCAGAGGAGGGAGAGCAGGGACTAAACCCTATTTCCCAGGAGATGGATGCTCCAGGTGTTACCGTCCCTTGGGGCTGCCTCCTTGCTGCAGCAGATTGCTGCCTGGCACAGTTCCCATGAGCAATCAGAAGCTGCTCAAGCAATCAACATCACAGGCTCAGCAGCGAAAGATGTTTTCTCATGTCAGTGACTCTGTGATTTCCTCCATCACAGAACTGGAGGATCTGGCTGTGTCTGGAACTGGAGAGTGTGTGGTGTGCTCTGAGCCTGGCTGTGGGGTGGGGTCTCCACCCTGCAGAGCCCCACCTCGCCCATCTGAGGTCTTTGGCCTGAGGAAGCCCACAGGATTAGACCCTTACTGAAAGCCTGAGTAATGTGTAGTCTCCAAGTGTACAATGACTCACAAAGAGAAACAAATTACTGTAATTTAGGGTGTTTTGATTTCAATGCCAGAATTAGAACAATTCATTCCAGCTCAATTGAAAACAGAAGAGATGTGGTAGGTTTTTATTTTGCAGCGTCTTTAAGCATCTGCTGTTAGCAGCAAGAATTTGCAATGAAAGGCACAAAGCACTGTTAGAAAAGCATTGGAAAACACTTCCTGGGTCCATTCACTTGTCCCAGTTTTCAGAGGATATGCTTGTGTTAGTTCCGGAGAATGTGAGGGTGCAGCCTCTGCATTGCTAACCACTCTCTTTTCCAAGCAGAGGACTCCAAGCAGAGGACTGGCTTCCGGCTTTTCTTCAGGGGAAAAGCTGAGAAACTTAGGGTTGTTCAGCCTACAGATGAGAGGGATACAAGGAGATCTCATTGTGGTGTTCAGCACTTAAAACATTTTAGTAGTGTCTATTGAGAAAGGACATGGGGTAACAGATCTAAACCAAATGAGGGTAAGTTCAGACTACATGTATGGAAAAAATCTTTAAAATGAGGGTGGTGAGACATTGGAGCAGGTTGCCAGAGAGGCTGTATAGGTCCCATCCCTGGAAACATTCAAGGTCAAGTTGGACAGAACTCTGAGCAACCAATCCCTGCTCACTGTCTGGAGACTGAGCCAAATGACCTTTGAAGGTTCCTCCCAATCCAAAGTATTCTCTGATTCTGTGATTCCATAAATAGTGAATAGATCAATACTGGGAAGCACAAGACTGCGTGCATGCACAGGGCAGCAGCATGCTGCTGGAGCTGTGGGATTCTTGCCACATCTAAAAGAGAAATTATATCTGCATGGAATTTCTTTGTCACTGTGTGACAGATAAGTACAGTCAGTGTCTAACACATGTTCAAGTAAATAAAACACAACAATAATGTGGTAAGATCAATTTCAGCTTCTTATACAGTACCAGTGAAATGTTATGTTGTCTGCCTCTCTCTAAATCTGCAGGAATTTTGCCATCATGTTCAGCCTTCACCCTAAATTTATAAAAATCCAAGGAAATGAAGGATTAAAACAAAAAACTGACTCATTCACCCTAACCTAGCAATCGACCTCTAAAATAATCAGTCTTATCTTCCTTTATGATCAAAGAAGAGAAATAACCGTCTCATTTTGAGGAACGTATATTGAGGCACTAGACTCCATTCTGGAGTTGTCTACTTCTCCCAGTTGTCTCCAAACAGAGGATAGATGTACTTATTCAAATGCAGATAGCTGTGGTTTAGATCTGTGAAGTTATATGAGGTTAATTCTGTCTAGCAGTCTGTTCCTGCATACCTCAGGTCTTCTCCCCTTTGTACATCATATGTCAATATTATCAACTTAATTGCTGTGCACTGCAGAAAACGAAGGTTATATCTGTACCAAAATGAAGGGTTGTCTTGCTACAAAGATATTTTCTGTAATCCATCATGATGACTGTGTTGTTTACATAGGTCCTTCTCTGCCTTTTTCCTAACTCATCCACAGCCTTAAAAATTTGCTCGCAATGCAGTCTAAGGAAACTTGCATATATATCAAACATTTTAGTGGTTTTTTTTCCCTAACAAACCATTTTTATCCTTGATGCCCAGTGAAAAACAGTTCTAACTGGCTTTTCTTCACATTAATAAATAGCATATGGGCTGCAGTGGCAAAATGCAAAGCACATGTCCAAATGATCTGAGCATAAAATGCAACCTATGCAGACAGTTAAAATACATTTATGTAAATATATGTAAATAAGTATACATGAGCTATAGGTATACATATATATATGTATACATATATATATATAATCCCAAGAGTGAAATGCATTTGATTATTCTCTACTGTTGTCCAGAAACTCCAGAGAAAACTTTATATTACTCCTTTCAGATTGGTGCATGGAATTTTCATAGATCATAAACTGAACACTTTGTGACAGAGTGAATTAGGCTTTACTTTTATCACATTTCACAGTTAAGTAAAACAAAGACCATTTGTACATCCTAGCCATAGATCTATGCTGTGAATTAAGTGAAGAAGCCTACCTTATGACTGTCATCTGTACTGCTTCTGAACAAAATGTCAAAACCTAAATTCCAGCTTCATTATCTCTGCTGTCAGTTGCTTTTGAAACCATTGACCTTGGCTGTCTCCTGGAGATTTTTTTCTCCTTTGGTTCTTCCCAGTATAATATTTGTCAGATCTTCTTCAATGTCCATATCCCCAACCTTATCTTTCTTTCTTCCTAGGCTTTACTGAAGAAATAAATTTAACTAGTTTGTGCTTATCATTTACGTAGATGTCTGCCCAGAGCTTCTGCTATCCAAATAAAATCTCTGGCATCTTTTTGAAAGTTGCCAACCAGACATTGAGATATCAAGCTCAGTATATTAAAACAATACTTTTAATCTTCATCTGCCTGTTCTATTCTCTCTATATATAGCCTTGATGTCTTTTGAAAGCATTCTTATCTTAACAGTTGCTCAAGCTCTTCATCTGGAAACCATCTTTCTCTAGACACGTATCTAGCTAGATCCAGGCAATACGTACAACTTGCAAACTCTCTGCACAATATTACTGTCATAAGGACTTTTTTTGTCCATTGTGAATCAAAAGTGCTTGGTTTATGTCCTAATACTTTGAAATCAATTGCAGGAGCATCCATTCTTTGACCTTGCAATTTGCCCTACTTCAGAAATCCTATCTGAAACAATGATAAGTTTTTTTCATCCATCACTTCACCTATGACTGCACAAAGAAATATGTATTGCCTAGCATATGCCAGCAATTTTTTCACACAAAAACAACTTTGTTCTGGAAACTCTTGACAACCTGTCTTACTGCTTAACCCTTTCAGCACTGAAAGATCAAAGACCAGTTCCAGACAACGCTCATGTAATCTCTTCTCATTCTGTTGGCTTTGAGCCGTCCTGGTCTGCCCAAAGACTAAGTTGAGATGGTTTGTATGTATGACCAAGCCCTTGGTAGTAACTCACACATGACAACTTAATAATACATAAAATTTGTATCCACATCTGATGGAACTGTGCCTTTCCCAAATCCTCCATGCTGATTCAGCCCGGTGCCATGATGCAAGATGGAATCAGTAATGAATATCCAAAAGAGAGGTTCAGAGCAGCTCTGCAACTCCCTCACAGTCGTACCAGCAATATGGATATTTCTAGCACAATTAACTCAAGCAGATTGCTTAGGTCTTCTTTTAGGTCTTGATACTCAGTTTCAAAATCCATAAGGAATCTTTACAAAGTCAGTCACTGCATGACAGCAGGGAGAGAGAAACTGAGCAAACAAAATTAATTTGAGTTTTTTTAGTCTGTCTCTGTGACCTTGTGCTGAGAGGATTTAGATAGTATCCCAATAGACACCCAGGAGATGCTGCATTAATGCTGGAATTCACCAGGGAGAGGTGGCAGTGTCCCTAAAGTGTCTCTCAGGTGTGCAGACCTTGTGAGCCATCAGGGCAAAAGCCATGCAGATGACACAGAAAGGAAGGTGCCTTAAACTAAAAGGGTTGAAAGGGAGTAGTTATGCTGGTGAGATGAGTTACTCCTGAGAGCAAATTTAAGAAACTGCATTTCTAATATTAGTGCCTTTCAGGCATTTTAGGTGTGGTTACTGACTTTTTAAGTGTGTGTACTGAGTTTTGAGCTAAAATGAAGTAAAACAGCCTTCAGCAATGATTTTTCTGTCTTGTGAGAGAGTGTTGATTCACAAAACTGGTAAATGAAGGTCTGAGTGTTTGAGGCAGTTTCCACCCCCAGATATGTGCTCTGATCCTCTATGGAGAAGTGGATTGTGCCTTCCTCTGCTGTGCTGGAAGCTTGCTGGGCTTCCCCTCTGGGCAGTGTGAAACACACCCGAGCCAGGGAGGGGAGCCTGCTGGAGCAGCCTTGAGATCACTGGAGTCTTTGAGAGGTTCCTGTGGCACAGAGCCCTCTAACAGAGCTGGTGAATTCAATAATTCACCAAATCACACACTAAATGCAATACTAAAGGAAGCTAACTGGCTGAGGTCAATCTCTTTAATTGCATTACAAATTTACACTCTCTAAAGGAGTATGTGCTGTGGAATGATGAATTTGGCAGTCAGACAGCTACATTATTTTGTCATAGCAAAGCATCTGAATGTAGAGTTGCCTGTCCTTCTGTAGGAGAAGCAGGTGTATTTGTTTTATTCTGAGTAGTAGATGAAATGAATGTTGCCAAAGAGCAGAATTAATGCAATATAGTCTCAGGTGAGTGTGGGTTAATCACAACAGCCAGGGAAAATATGTCTTTCTTAGGTAAAATTTCTTTCAGACATTTTTATTACATGAAAGCCTGTAGATTTGCAGCTATAAGGCCAGGTGTGCACACAAAGAGCAAACTTAAGATGCCATTTTCAAAGGTGAAGATGCTTAGGTGTTATTGAAATGCAGTTTGCAATTAATTAAACCTTCAGTTATTTTTGTTTTCCATAAATTAATATTTATTTTCTGTGTTGAAATAATAGCAAGTACATTTCTCAAGTAAAATGTTTTGCTGTTAGGTGCAGGAGATGACAGAAGAAAACTTCAGTTGAACACCATCAGACAAATAAAAATTTATCTGCTTGTATATTTGTTATTAACACTTGTTCCAATTTTTGTTTGGCCTTTAAAGGGCTGGCAAAATATTGAAATGAAGCCCCAGCTAGGAATAAAAAAATAATTAAAACCTCCAGTGATTGTTCTACAGGATGCATTTTTGGAACATAGCTGATATTGCCATTAATCTTTTCAGAAAACTGTAGACCTTTTTTTCCCCACATTTTGGTTGCATTCTTCTCACAGGTAGTTGTTCTTACTTGAGTTTATTTGTATTTCTTTTCATTAATATACTTCTGTCCCAAGGGTTTTTCTGACAAGTTAAAAAAAAAAAAAGCACAAGCTTCTGTGATTCAATATTTAGAGCATCACAAATCATGGTTGTATCATGAAACACATTTGAACTTTTCCTTAAGCCCCTTGGTTGAAAGAGGCTGCCTGGGAACCTGTCTGCACTCTAATCCTTGGGAACATACATCAGTAAGCCAGAGACATGATCCATAAAAATTCTTGATGGAAAAAAATAGATGTTTTATAAAAATAAGATCTTGCAAAAGTAAAGGTGGAATTCCTTCAGAGACTTTTTTTGGAGGCTATTATTTGTGGCTATCAGAGGTTAAAGAGCTGACAGAAAAAGAAACTCAAAACCAAACCACAAACATTCATAGTTGCCTTACTTTTCTTTCAATTCAGACATAATTTGGTTGTTTCAGCTTGAGTACCCTCCTTCTTCACTCTGTGACAGCTGGGAGAAACACTATTAAAGCAAAAGGATTTGTGATTCCTCTTTTCATGATGTGGCTTGTAGGGAAGATGATTTGGAATGAAGCTCCCACTGAGATAAGCATGCAGGGACATCCCTCAGGAACACAGACTCGTTTCTTTGTTATTTAGGTGTTTGGCTTTTTAAAGATTGCAAACAGGAAAATTAGACTCCAGTAATTTGCTTCAAGTTTCACTTTAAGTAGGTCTTTAGAACAAATTCATGTGTTAATATGGGAAAAGATTGTATATCTTGCTACACAAAGATTTTGCTGTTGATTATAAAAACAGAGAGACAGAGGGCTCCTGGGTGACTATTTGCTTGTAATATTCATATAGTCATTATGTTATGATAAGAACTCTTTTTTTAATGCTGCAAAATGTGAATTTTATAACCAGCAGAAATGATATGTATCTATGTTGGAAAGGATAGCTAGAAGATCAATAAAAATGGAGAGAGGAGAAGATTGGACATGAAAGTATGAGTGTTGGCAGCTTCCCCAGAATTATACTTTTAAAATACTTGTTGCTAATGAATCATAGTGCAGCCTAGAGCAGGGCCAGGAAGGATGCACCACCACAATGCCACTTATGGCCATCTCTGATAAGATAGGCTGGGCAAACACTGCTTTCAAACCAACAGTGAAGAGTGTTGACCCTCCCTCTTGATATGCTTCAATGAAATTTTGATAAGTTTGATGAACAATCTTAGAAAAAGTAACTTGTCATTGTATCCATCTAATGTGACACAGACACATCACTTGGTCTATGGCACCTGGAACTAAAGCTACTTTAATACAAAATATTTTCAAAATCTGGAGTTCCTAGGTTTTTATGTTGTTATTAAGAATTCCTTCCTAACAGTTAATTGATAATCAAAGTTAGCACTGGAATTAGTGAAAAGTTGTTGAAAAGTCTGTTGGATGATGTCTCTGCAATCTCATACATCAACTACATCCCCTAATCTCAGGGGAGAGGGGAAGCACTTCACTGACTGTGCTGCTGTGTTGTGTCTCACAGCTCCCAACCCTCCCACCATTCGGGAAGAGCTCTGTACAGCCTCCTATGATACCATCACTGTGCACTGGACATCAGATGATGAGTTCTGTGTGGTTTCCTATGAGCTGCAGTACACCATCTTCACTGGACAAGCCAACGTTGTTAGTGAGTATAAACCTTCTCTTTTCTCGTTGTTCCCTCATGGTTTCTATGAAACCCAAGTGTCTTTAAAGATAAATACACTCCTATGTCAAGAACAAAAGGAAAAAATTATTTTCTAGAAAGATTTAAAGCCAAAATTTTCAATCCAAACCAATAATGATTTTAAAAGGCATCCCAAGTCCCTTTTTGCAGATGTAGCAAGTTCAAAGATCTCATTTCCATTCTCTGCACTAGTCAGGCAGTGTGCACATGGGAGCCTGTGTTGAGCTGGTCATTACTTAGAACTGCAGCCCCATTGTCATTTATATAAGCTTGACGTCTGGACCTTTATCTGACATACAGATTAAGTCCTTCCCTCTGATTTTTATTGTCTTCAAGGCTATGAAGCATAGGTCTCACTGAACTACAGGCTAAATCAGAAAACATCAGTAGAACAACAATTTATAAATTAACTTGGTTTTATTTAATATGAGATTAATAGACATTGTATATTTTGTACTATAGCACATTTTTTATGAGTACACTCTATGTTTTGAGTCTGTGACTTTCTTTAATGGCTGAATTTACTTAATTAGATTTTGTATTACTTTATTGTTAAATAACTTTTCCTCCAAAAAAAAATATATAGTCTAATCTTTGGTCAGGAAGTCAACGTTTCTGGATTCAGTGTTCTGCAATCATTGGGGTCTTTGACTATGAATTTGGAGAAGTCATTCAACTTCTTCCTGGTCTCTGTATATTTAATGGGCATTCCACTAGCTGACACAGACTTGTTTTATTAAACAAGGATTCTGAAATGAGCCAAATCAATCAAAATGTGGAGTTTGTTCAAGTCAACACATATTTAGATAGGGAACTCATCACCACAGGGGTTTGGTGTGTTTTTGAGTTCAAGAAATGCCTGGACAGGTCATGCAAGAAAAATACACTGAGAGCAATGAAGTGCAGTGAAGTTGCTCTGGAATTGCCAGGGCTGTAAGCTGTTGATGCCTGGGAGAGCAAGGTGAGAAATGATCAGTGTGTGCTCTCCCTGTTCCTTGAAACCTTTGTACACCCCCTTCTTTCCCCAGCATCAAATTCCCTGGCCACGCCCTGAGCTAGATGGGCTTAGATGTGACACTGGGCAGAAGTGTTTTTCTTCTTGCAAAACTTTCTTATAAGAAGAAAATTTGTTGAGATACTTTGAGGAAAGTCAGTGCAGTGGCCATGTTTACATGCTTTATGTCAGTGGAAAAATGGCATGGTCTATGCCAAGTTTGAGTTCTGAGCCAAACTCTCCCACTGACTCCTCTGTTACTGTGCACCTCATCCTCTCCATCACAGAGCAGGAGTTTATTTTCCAAACCATCTGAAAGGACATCTGAGGATTCATGTGCTGGCATCTTAATACCTTTTTTAAGTAGCATACTGTGAATGTATTACAGTATTCAGGACTGACTGAAAGAAGATGGATTATTGAAAATTTGATGAATGTTTTGTCAAAACCTCCGTTTAGTGTTTCCCTTAAGAGTCTGATTTTGAAGAACACACTGCAAAATTTAACTCTGTTGGAAAGACCAAATAAACTTCAGCACATGCTTCTACATCTGAGCAAGCAGAATAATAAAAAAGTCTAATAGCAATTTTTCAAAAATTGAAGCAAGGTAGATAAGGAAGGAAAACATTCTCTGACAAATCACTACCAAGCAGAGATAATGATAAGCTGGTGTTGCTTGTTTTCTAGTCCATTTTTATCTATGGCTTTATGCTGTGCAAGTCAATTCAGTAATTGACTTGCACATTATGTATGAACATGGCAGCAGCAAAAGGTGTGCCATTTCCACAGGCGTGGGATGTGGGATTTTACTCTTTGCTTACTAGTGAATAAATAACAAGGTATTTCTATTTTGAGCTGTAGTGTAGGTTTCCCATGTGGAGGTGAAAGCTTTGATCTGAAAAACATATATCAATAAGTCTGCTTTCAGGGATGCATTATAATTTTCAAGCATAGCATGAGGTGCTCAGTATGCAGTCTCAACTTCCATATTATCATTTTGCAAAAATAGTTAATTAAAACTTTGAAGAGTAAACAAATCAACACTGTAAGAAACTTAATTACAAAATGCTCTGAAGACCTTAAATGAAAGTAAAAAGAAATGAAAGAATGGTTCTTCCTTTTTTTGGTGATATTTTTGGGTTTTATTTGGTTTTGTTTGGATTTTTGTTTTGAGTTTTTTTAAACAGAGCTAATTCTTATGCAAATTTCCTGGTTTAATTGAAAGCTATAATGTTAACCCACATTAAATGCGTGCATGTGTGAGTATATTTGAAAGGCCTTTCTAAATGTTGTAAAGCCTTTTTTTAAATGTCTTTATTTAATATAGACTTGAACCCCTCCAATGGTGATCTTCCTGCCAACATGCTACAAATCTGCCTGGGTTTCTAAAATATGAGATTCTCCCAGGTCATTCCAAATTACACAGGTATTGGAGATTAATAACACTAACATCATAGAATCATAGGACCACTTAGGTTGGAAAAGACCTCTAAGATCATTGAGTCCATCCATTAACTTAACACTGCCAAGTCCACCACTAAAACATGGCCCTAAATGTCACATCCACACGACTTGTGAATCTCCCCAGAAATGGTGGCACTACCAGTTCCCCGGACAGGCTGTTCCAATGCTTGACCAGCCTTTCCATGAAGAAAGTTTTCCTAATACGCAATCTAAACCTCCCCTGGTACGTCCTGAGACTGTTTCTTCTTGCCCTGTCAATCCCATCCTCAGAACACTGCTTGGATGTTTATTCGCTTTGTTACATTCTGTTCTTGATCCTGCAGAAGGATTTAACATCGCACCTGTTACAAATGGCTTTCCAAGGCTGTTTTTAGAATATCTCAGTGTACCTTGGTAGTGATGTTGAACACAGAGAGCTGCTCTCACTGTAAGTGGCATTAACAGGTGCTGCCCTGCAGCCTTCAAGTTTTGATGAACTGGAGATAGGTTTGTGTTTTGGGGTTTTTTTAATCCCGTTCTAGACTTTGGATTAGCAAAAATTTCCTCGTATTTATGGCATATGCATGCTGTTGCACATAACTGTATTTTTATTACTCTGTCACATCCAGGAAATTCCCATTGGTATTGTGAGTTGCATATAGCAGATAATGTAAACAGGCTCATAGACTGACTTCAGTTCTGTGGGTTTTTAGCTATGAATTAGTCACCAGGGAGTAGCTCAAGTAGTGCATTAAACCCACAAGCTTTTTCCCTGGAGACAATAGGAATCACTTTGCATACATACCCACCTACCGTGCTAATGGAGCCTGTTATTTTGGAATCTGTTTCTTAAACCACACAGCCAGCCTGACTGCACTTTCCACTCACAGTACATTTCCCCCACCAGAGGCATATATCATCCAGAGATTGCTAAGAATTCAGTAACAAAAACAAGCAATGCTATGTTTTTTTAGTATACTTTCTATCCAACACAATCAACTATATTCTTTTTTATTAACTGAAAAATTGGAAAGTTAACATTTGATGGCCAAGGTCCAAATAGAGTATTTCATTTGAATTCTATTTCATACAGGAAAGATTATTTCCAAATGTGGCCAAACTTCTCAGCTATTGAATGCTTGGCAGACCTGCTCTGTGCATAAGAGCAACACGGAACTCTAGATTAAGTAGGCTTTTACTAAAGCAGTTGTCCTCAGAGTTATACCATTTGTATATTTGCATTTCTGAGAGGCAGCTAATCACCTGCAATCTGACTACGGTAAAAGCTTTTAAAATTACTTTGTCACGAGCTAACTAACATGCATTATAATTTCATTACCCCATTTCAATAGATTTTGAAGTATTCATTGAGTATGCCCTTTTTTAACATCGTGGATTTGTTAAAGTGTGTTTCAGGATGGTTCAAATTTTTCTCTAGCTCTGATGCAAGATTCTTCAGGAAAAATACATCTCTCCCTTCTTGACAAAGAGCAGCAAATCATTCTCTCTTACCTTGTAAAAGAAATCAGGGATAATTAGTTATATAGTCTAATTTCTAAAAAAATCACTCTGTGAAGGATACAGTGTACTACTGTCAGAACCTTTTCACTGTAATAGGACTTCTCTTCCTTTGAGAGAGGACAAAAGTTTTTGGAAGGACCTAAGACAATTAGGAGCCCAAGCTTCAATGAAAAATAGTGAATTTATGATTCACCAAATAATTTTTAATATTAGTATAATTTAATATTTTAATTAGACTTTGCCTCTTTCTGGAAGTTTTATTTTAATAAAAATAAAATCTAATAAAATTACTTACAGTCTTCAGATTTCTACTAGAGATTTTAGTGAGAATTTTTAATGGCACAAAAGCAAATTTAGGATAAAACCAGGAAAACTTTTGCATCTTTAAAAGTATAAAACGACTGTATTTCTTAAAACAAAATCAATGTGTTTTTCAGAAATCCTGCTTTTTTCTTTTTTTTTTCAGATGGGAATGAAGAGTGGGGGTGGAGAGCTAGTTGTTACTTTCATCTACCTTATTTGCTTTACCAATTTGAATTGGTAATAATTTATTTAAATAAAACATTTTACAATAATTAAAATACTCAAGAGATTAAATGACCTTCCTATGACTTTTGTGCTCCTTTTCCAATTTTCAAGAAAATATATTTTATTAAAATCTATCAGTGTAAATTTTAGGAGGATTTACACCTTGGGATTTTTCCCATCTGTTTTTTAAAGTGCATCAACAGCTAACACCAGGGAAATAGCTTTACAAATTATTACCTCCAGACTCTGAGAAACTTGTTTTGAAAACTCACACATCCTGTATGGACATCACTGTGCTCACTGCACCGTTCCAGGATGTAATTTAAATTCTCTACATTTTTGTAGGCTGCAGTTTTAAAATACATTGTTTTACCATCTGCATAACCCTGTAAAAAGCCCTGGGTTTTTGAAACAAGAAACCTGAATGCAGCCTGGATTAGGAGTGGGTACAATGGGAGACCTTGGCTCCTGCTGTTCCCCAGTGAGGAGATGTGTACTTTCCACTTCACCTGCTGCCACCGTCAGGGAACTGAGGGGGCAAACACTTCCCCTGGATGCCAGTGTGATCAGGCTGCTTGTTCATTTCCCTGAACTTCCTTAATCATATTCTTTTGTATTCAGAGAAGAAAGGCTGTCCTGACAGGGCATAACTGGAGACAAATTCCTTTGATGCAGTGACAAATTATTCTTTCATAAGTAAATGCTTAACTTGGCTGCCACAAGTAGCTATTCTCCCTTTTGAAGGAGTTTGGACTTGTAGTTTGGCATCATCAATACTTAATTCCCAGGATTTTTGAATCAAAGTACAATTTAAAGCCTGTTATCAAAGAGCTTACAGTCAGAAAGCACAAGAACATATCATTGAGTCCTTTGGTGCATAGGCAAGAGCTGAGCGGTGTAAGACAACAAGGTTTGTCAAGTAAAATAACCGAGTCAGTCACTGCACATCCAGCATTTATTGCACATCAGTAGTCTGGGATGCCTAAGAGTGGAAGGACAAAGAAAGGAAACCTAAGATGTATTCTGTCATCAAAGAGGATAGAGCTTTCCTCTAGAACATGAGTCAGGTCATGGCCACATTTGGAAATAATCTTTCCTGTATGAAATAGAAGTCAAGTGAAATACTCTATTTGGACCTTGGCCATCAAATGTTAACTTTCCAATGGCTCTCTCTATTGATTGTGCAGAATGTTCAGGGTAGGTAAGGCCTTCAGTGATATTTGGTATGTATAAATCCACATACCCAGGAGGAGGGGATGAACTCAAGGGGAGACTCATAGCAATGCAACAGTTCCTTTACTATCCTTTATATACTTATTTGGAGCAAAGTTTTATTCTTGGTTAAGGAGCAATCAGCCTTTGGAGGGTATTGTAAAAAGTGTAATGGAAGTCTTAAAAATGTGCCATTAGAGAGCTGTAGTGAATAATACAAAACTAGTTTCTAGATGAGTTACCAAAACTCTAGGCATTTCTGTGTCTGCATAATGGTCAATTTATATATGGCTTATACATACCGGAGAACTTGCTTTCAAAGTGTGGTTGTTGTTGGAGAAGAGACTTCTAGGGCCACTGTCTGTATCCATCGCACTTATTGTCATCGCACTTATTGTCATATGTTATTTGGTATCCTATCAGAGGTATTTTGGTTAAAGACTCCTTGATCATATTAAATTCCTTTTAAAACCAGTGCTTAATTTTGTTTTAACATACTTTAATTTATTTTGCAATAGCACCAGTAAGGTTAGTCTCAATGCAAAATCAATGTGGTAGTTCAGATACAGGAGTGTGTGATTAATATCTGTGGAAAACTGGGAAAAGATGAGATTTCCTCTGAGTAGTCAGTGAAATATTTTATGTCAGGAAGCTGCTTCCTTTGTTTTCTTTCTTCCTCATAGGAAACCCATTCACACACAGCCTAAAAAAATAATTTGGTGTGTAGGGCTCAGTGAGAGAAGACATGGACGGATGTTGCTTTAAGCAGTTCACTGCAAGGGGTGGGGTTACATGGGCTATAAAGTGGGTTCTTTCTCTTCATGACAAAGGCATATATATATGATTGCGTAGATATTTGTTCTATGCAATCATATATATATAAATTATCTACAGATGAGTGACTCATCTCACATCATTTTAGATACCTGAAATTTGAGATCTCATGTATGCTGATCACCTTGGCTTCCTCTGTGGACAAGGGAGGCATTTGCAGTTGGTAGGATGTTCACAACTGGGGAAGTGAAAGAAACTACTCACTGATTTCTGCCTTTCCTCAGAGCACAGGAAAATAGGTTAGGCATTGTAGCTCTTCATTAGGTGGCAAGATAGTATAAATCTAACCTGAAACTGTCCCACAGTTACCCATTTGCACAGCAAGATGAATCTCTATTCTGCCTGCCTCTCAAAAATGCTTTGTACTGCAAGAAAATTTTGAGACACAAACATCATAATACTCATATTAAAATTTGAAATTTAAATTCTGTGATTTAAATTTAAATTATTTAAATTCTAATGATCTTTTATTATGAAAAGCACATATCACATTAGGAAGGAATCTCACAGTATGCCCATGAATTGTCTATGAGTCTGCAAACCCATATCACAGATCTGTTTCTCTCCAGTTTTGTAAACAGTAGCCTTCACATTTTATTTTACATAAAGTTTTGATATTGTCTGATATACAGAGCTGAATTACTACTGAGTTCTAAAAGATTGTCTTCATGAATGGTTTGCAGTTAGAACATCCATTAAAAGCTGAAAGCTGTCTGTAAATAACAACAGCTTCCATAATGTGTTCTGTGCCCAGTAAAGACAGAAGCCAAGAAGTCTGTCAGCCTTTCTCTGTTACATTTTCCAACCTTACATATGTGCATACATCCATACACTTCCACTTGCATCTATCTATTTCTGGCTGTAAAACCATATAAAATGTTGTGAATAAACATACTCTTCATAAATGTTAAATTTTTTCTTTATGTAAACATCTACAATAAGAGGCTGGGGAATCCATTAGACCAGGAGCTGTTCCAAATATACAGTGATGGAACTGTATGTATGGGTGATTGACTGCCATTGCATTTATATGACAGTAGGAAAAACTTATGAAGATTTCAAAGTTCATTTTAATAGGGTATTTTTCTGATTTGTTTATGATATTGGTACTGCCTTATTTTACTTATTTCCTGTGTGTTATACTTCTGTGGTAGGCATAAAATGTAAACCAAATATAAACCAAAAAGGTTTATAAATGGAAAATTTTCCAGCACTTTCCCAGCTGGCATCTCATCATGAGGACATAAATCAAAAAGTTGCATCCATTAAATTTACTGGCTTAGATTACTTTCTGGCAAAGTCTGATGTGCAAGAGCCAAAGGTTTCCCTGAAGCCCATGCTCTACCCTGTTTGGCCTCCCATTATTTGCTTCAGGTTCTGAAGAATGCATACCTGGGGACTGTCAGCAAAGGTGCCTCCCCAGCCCTCCTGGCTTTGCTGCTCACGTTCGTTTTCTGAGGTTTAAACTGAGTTCATTAATCCAAACAGTAGATTGATGGGATCTCCATAATCCTCCAGTTCTTAAGCAATAAAGAATGCCTTGTGCTGGGATATGAAAAATCTCAGACTGCTAGTGTCTCCACTGAGCCATTTCTTAAATGCCCACTTTTTATGGTTCACTTCACATAGCAAGAATTTAAAAGGTGCCTCAGCTGAGGGTTGATAAAATGAATTAGTGACTTTAAGTAGTGGCTCAGTAAATATAACAACACTTTAAAAGGTACAGAAGCAAAGCTCATATTGGTCATTGGGTGCCTGGGAATGCTCTAAATGTCCCTCTGTGTGTTTTGTGTGCTGTGACTGATGTGCTCTGTTCAAAATTGCAGGTTTATGCAACTCAGCCGACAGCTGGATGATTGTTCCCAATATCAAACAGAACCACTACACGGTGCACGGGTTGCAGAGTGGCACCAAGTACATCTTCATTGTCAAGGCCATCAATCAGGCTGGCAGCCGCAGCAGCGAGCCTGGCAAGCTCAAGACAAACAGTGAGTAACACCAGATCAGGATGCACAGAGTCTTCTCCTTTCAGGCCTTCCTTTTTAGGTCTGATCTTTGGAAAATACAAGAGGACAGAGAAGTTCAACTTTTTTAAGTGGTTTCCAAAATGAAAGCCACTTATTTAATATAATTCAAGATTGCCTTAGTCTTCTGTAGTGCAGAAAATATGTTGGGGTTTTTTTGAGAGATGTATCTGTAGTTTGATCACTGGAAATATCGCGTAGGAACTAAGCCATTGTACATGAAATGGTTGAAAATACTCTTTTGTGGTTTTGTTTTAATATCCCGTCTATTTTTTTTCCTCTACAAAGCAAAAACTTTTCTTATGTTTGCAGTAAAATATTTTATTTTTGTAGTGTTCATAAGATAATTGCTAGTCTAATTTTATCCTCCAGAATTATCTCTTTTTTAGGACACTGGAAAGCTTCTTAACTTCAACCCCCTCATTTTTTTATGGAGTTCAGCAAGGTGATAGACTAGCCAGAGATCCCACTTCAAAAAAACAATGGTTACTCAAATTATTAGCAGATGTAGAATAGCAATTTTAAGACTAGTTTTCAGCTGTTTTTTCCTCTTGCACAAACTAGTCCTTTAGTCATGTAGTCATCATGGGCAGTTCTGAGGGTTGGAAAGAAAACACTGGAATTTAGGCATTTTCTGAAACCTGCTTATTGTAAGGGAAGGTGCTTAAAGAGGGATGATAGTGAGTGGTGCAAGAAGGAGTCTGAAGAGAAAGGCATGTACACCTTTCTGATTTCCTCCTGTTTGCTGTTAACCTGTGTGATGTGACCAGACACAATTTAGTACAGAGAGACATCCTTCAGATACTGTTCTAGCATACAAAGGCTCTAAGCAGTCAGAAAGGCAAGCAGAAGGTTATGTTACTGCTGTCAAGTAGTAAGAAATAGCCCCCAAATACTTTGCAAAGGGTTTATTCTATGTTTGCTCATAATATGTAGTTAAATGCACATTTCAAAAGTAGATAGCCCTGAACAGTCTACATTTTAAGTACATGTGCCTGTGCCTCACACAGGCTTTGTGTGAGATCTAATTTAAATTTTCTGTGCATGCCATCAAATCTTCTGATTACATGTTTTTCCCCTTGATATGAAAGACAGTAAGAAGAGAAAAGTGCTTTGCTGGACCACTTGTGGAGCTGTAGTTTTCTAGTTGTCTCTTGGTGGAGGTAAATATTCTGCTTTCTGACATAATGAGCAAGCCTGTCAGAATTGTGGTGGGCTTTATATATCTACAAGGTTTGGTTTACCAAAAAGCTTCCTGTTATTGTCTACAAACCTTGTGCTACAGCCGAAGATACTTGCCAAGAGCAACAGCCTGAGTAATGTTATTGCACCATATTATTTGGACCAAGTTACAGTTCACTTCCTTCCTTTTAATGCACAGCATCCAGCACTACATGGGCATCATTCCAAAGCAATCCTGAATTGTTGACTGTGCTTGTTACAGATAAAGCTGTCAGTGAACAAAGAGACAAGTCTAGTTCTTCTAATTTTCAGACTCATTTTGCAGGATTTGAAAACATACTTTTGTAGGAATGATGAAGATGTTATTATGGAGCTTTGCCCCTAGAGAATTAATAGAACACAAGTTATTCTAAATCTAATATGCTGTGGAAAAAGCAACCCTCAGACCTTTATTAGCATGTATATTGGTTTCAATTACATGCAAGAATTAGAGTATTCTGGTTACCTCTAGGTCAGAGATAATGGACATGATGGTTATGCAGGGCTCTTTTCAGGGATTATCAACACGGGGAAGTTAGTGCACAATGAAGTTGACAGTAAACTGACTATGCAATAGAAACTAGCTATTGCAGGGAGCTGGATAGGTTAGTCTGTCTCAAGAATGCTTGAGAGGAGGAAATTAATATGGTTATGTAATCCTGTGTGCTTCTTAGAGGCTTGCTAATCCACTCTCCTTTTAAAAATCAAAGCCAAACCATTCTTCTGTCATCTTTGTCTCTGCATCTCTAGGTCAGCCATTTAAACTGGACCCCAAATCTGCTCATAGAAAGTTGAAAGTGTCTCATGATAACTTGACAGTGGAGCGGGATGAAACATCCTCCAAGAAGAGCCACACCCCAGAGCGATTCACGAGCCAGGGCAGCTACGGCGTGGCTGGCAACGTCTTCATCGACAGCGGGCGGCACTACTGGGAGGTGGTGATAAGCGGCAGCACATGGTACGTGTATAAAAATGTCGAGGAAAAGAAGCACTGGTTCCCACCACACAGGTGCTGGCGCAGTTTTTCTGACAGAGACCAGTAGCAGAGACATCAGGAACAGTATAAGAGCAGGCCAAGCATGTGTTTTCAAATAGTTTGTCAGATGAGTTTCCCAATCTCCAGCACTTTTGGACTCCAGAAATAAATTTGTCAGATTATGCATCTTTGTATGTAGCAGCCTTCACAGGACTTTTACTCCACAGCTGGGGTTGGTTGTTTTTTGAACCCACATACAGTATATATTAAGATTTATTTTTTTTTGGAGGGATCAAAAACTTTCATCTTGTTTACACAGAGATAACTTTCTAAATGTGATCACTTCTCTACTAAATGTACAAGATTTTCTGTCTTTCTCTGTGAAAAAAATAAATAAAACTGAGGACAACTTGATGATCCAGTTTAACAGGGGCAGAGGTCAGATTTGCTTTTGGGAAGGGGACATGAAGCAGCAGAGCTGTAGGTCTGTGCCCCAGGGAATGAAGCAAGGGGCAGGAAACAGAAGACTGCTTTCCTTCAGTTCTGAATGATCCTCTGTGTCATACAGGGATGTATTTCAGAGGGCCTTTAGTCAGTGGAAGAGATGTTATCCTTTGGTATTCAAAGACACCACGATGAAAGTTAATGGAGTGGAAAAATCAGTGGGGTCTTCAGGTATTTCCCACTGTCTCAAAGAAGTAAAATGCTGTTTGTCTGTGCCAGCGCTAAGGATTGAGGGAAAAAACCTTATGGCAGATTAATCTCTGTTGGTTGAAAGTCCAACAAATACTGCAGTGTCTCTAGAACGTGAGGAACTTTTACATTTCTGTTATATATGACAAATCTGGTATTTTTCCTCAGTATCCTTTAATGAGAATATTTTCACAATCCTTCTGCCCTGCACATCTTGCCATAAATTATGGTTTGCAGAGCAAATGTCTTCACCTACAGTTGCTTAACTTGGCTTGAAACCCAGTCTCAAAAATGTTCATTTGAATCTGCAAACCACACCAACATCTGGCAAAACATATTTGAAAATGGCAAAATGGGGGGGGTGGGGGGAGGGGAGAGAGATATTTAATGTGTCCTTTGATGTTTATTCTTGCATTCCTTCTTCAGGGCCACATATTAAAGGAGCAAGGAGAGATCAGATTAGCTGACAGATAGCAGTGTATTTTAAAATCAATGAATTCCTCTGTATTCATCTGTTGGAAATGGAAATTTGAGGTCCAGTGATTTAAACCCTGGCTTGCTGAGTATTCAACAATCTTCCTTTTCAAAACCAGAGGCAAGCCCTCAAAAAAATTGCTGTAGCTGCCAAGCTAGAAATAATACCATGAGCTTCCCTGACCTCTCAGACCCAAAAGAGAGACAGAGAAAGCATTAATTAAGCCTGTGCAGATGTTGTGGTGAAACGTTGTTTAATTAGAGCTTAACTCAGGGTGGTAAGAGGCGGGGGCATTCCAGCGGGTCCTCTGGGCTAACATTTGACTTCACTGAGAGACAAAATGGCAGGAAGCATTTGTTTCCTTGAGATGTTCTTTTGTTTTGCAGGTATGCTATTGGCATTTCCTACAAGTCAGCACCGAAGCACGAGTGGATTGGCAAGAATTCTGCCTCCTGGGTGCTCTGCCGCTGCAATAACACGTGGGTGGTGCGGCACAACAGCAAAGAAATCCCCATCGAGCCCGCGCCTCACCTCCGGCGCGTCGGGATTTTGCTGGACTACGACAACGGTTCCCTTGCCTTTTATGATGCTTTGAACTCCCTACACCTTTACACTTTTGACATTACATTTGGCCAGCCAGTGTGCCCCACGTTCACGGTGTGGAATAAATGTTTGACCATTATAACAGGCTTGCCCATCCCTGACCACCTGGACTCCTCCGAGCAGCTCGCGTGAGTGCTGAAAGCCGAAAGGTAGGAGCACACATCTTCCAGGGCGGCCAGGCAGGGCCACCAGGAGCTCACCCAGAGCTGGAGCATCCATGTGGCATCCCAGACAATGCTGCCAAATTTGGGCAAAACTGACAAGGACAGAATATCTCTTCCTGTGTATTTTGTACTGAAGGACAAGAAGTGGCTTTAATAGTACCTTAGAACTCTTTTTTTCAGTTGTTTTTGTTTGGTTGGTTTTGTATTTCATCTCCTACAGGAAGATTTATAAATTATTTATAAAAATGAAAAAAAAAGAGAAAAGTGAAAGCCTAGTATGGACATCTGGGAAATGACTTCTTGTTTTTTTGGGAAGGGGGGGTTTTTTGCACATTGGTGGTCCTGTTAATTAAAGTTTCATCAGCCTTTTGAATAATTTTATTTTACAGTGGATAATAGAAGAAAATTGGAAAGATGAAAACTGCATAGTGGACAAGTCAGTATACTTCAGGTTTTACTTGTACCAACATTAGCGGTCTCATTACCAGCCTTGTCGAGTGTGAGAGCTCTCAATTTCTACTTTGCACATGGGAATGTGCAGACCAAAAGAACAAAAATAAGCGAGTGAGGAAGTGAAGCTCGCCAACACAGCAAAAGAATAAAGTTTAATTTACTTCTGTTCACAGGGCATTGCTCTCTCTGTTCATAAAAAACATGTGGAGTATCTCCTAGAAATGTGAGTGGATAAATCATCTGGTGATTTATTTTATTGATGGCAATATTCCCTTCTACCAGTGCTTCACTTTCGTCTTTGGGAAACATTATAGAATCACTGAGGATGTGGAGGCCCAATACCATCTCTGAGAATCAGCAGCACTGGAGGAGAGCAGCCAATCCAAGGTCTGACTGTAGACTAATTTGATAGAGCACGGCATCATTTAAGGATTGATTGTAATGGAAGATGTCACAGTTCTGATGGCAGACGTGAATGCTTATTGCTGATTTTACAAGGTTCAACATAGCAAGCCCAGCCAACCGCTCGGAAGTGAGACATGTGCCACTTTACCATTGGTTTTAAATTAAATACAAATGTTTCATTGTCATACACTGTGTAGTGTCTACAACAAAGCAAGAAAATCTGTTTTGCATGTGCTGGATGGAGAAACACTGTAGCTGGAGTTTGCTCATACTTATCATTGTCCCAGGTTGTTTGGGAAAGCACAGTTCACTTTGTGAATGAAAAGTAAAGAGTGAGCTTTCAGCAACAGTAGAAATCTGCACAGGGAGACCCTATGTTCATCCTGGTGTTGGTAGAAGAGCTTCAATGAAGGCAATAGAGGTTCTATGTACTTTATCTCAGAGCTGAATCAGGTGCATTTTTTCTTTTCCCCTTTACAGATAAAAGCTTTTTGTAATTATTGCAATGCTTATGTATAAATTATCATTTTGGGAGATGATTGAGGCGTATGACAACTTTAAAAGAATGGTTTTCCTGCAGTGTTTTGTTATTATTATGCAAGTGGTGAATATCTGCCTGTGTAGAGAAAAGATAAATTGAATATCAGCTTTAAAGATTTGCTCAGTAATTTATAACCATGCTTTAGGTGTCTTTTGAAAAAGATGCTTTAATGCACTTTGTTCAGTAATGGGTCCAAAATAAAATGGTCCCAAGCTCAGCTTCAGATTTTTTTAATACTGATTCTCCAGGTACAAAGCTCTACTACAGTTTGCCTTAGGATTATATAAAAATTTATGAACAAGATGAGGAGAATATTTACATGCCTGTTTGTTTGGGGGTTTTTTTAATAGAAAATAAATGCCTTTCCATGTTTCTTTGATTTCCCTTTACATGCCCTGCTAACTGCTGAATTAAATGGAGAAAAATCTGGCAGTACATTGCTGATACCATGGCTTTCAGCTGGGCAACATCCCATAGTTCACAGGTAGGAGCCACTGATCTTTCCCAAGTAGACATAAAAAGACAAAGGTTGTACATATAGTGAACCTCACTGTTTATCATAGTGTCAGTAATAATCAAGAAACGTATACCCTCAAAAATGAAAAAGTAAATCAGTCCCCAAGCATCTGAGTAAAATGCTACTGGTACAATCTGATGCACAATGCCCAGATGACCTCACCTGGGATGCTGGGAGCTAGCTGAGATGGTATGAAAATTTTGAAAATTAGTTGACAGAAGATGTCTGATGCAAAGCAGTGATAAAAGGATGCATGAAGAAAGGACTTTTATTCTAGGGTTATTGCCAAGTTTCTGCCTAAAAGGAAAGAGTGAATTACCAAAGTACATGTAGCAAGGCTGTGTGTCTTCTCTTTTGCAAGAAATATTAGATCTAGAAGCTGATTTCAGTAGTGGATAAACTGAAAACACTGCTCAGTGTTTGCTTATACAATGTTGGCAGAGATTGAGCTGGATGGAAATATAACCATTGAATTTGGAGAGGTCCCAAATGATTTCACATATTTTCATTGTAAAGATAGAGCATGAGTCTGAAGAGAGATTGTGGTTTTGGCCACGGGAAAAAGGATGGTCTTTCATCTACAGACCTTGCTGTATCATCTTTATTTTAACACAGAATACTTCATTTGGAGCTAAGCCACATTTCTCCAATGTCCTATTAACTCAGTCAGTACTCTTTGTGCACATATGTTTGTGTATATATGTACACATATGTATGGGTATACACACACCAGCATATGCACAAATATAGTGTGTAATTTGTGTATACACACACATATGTATATACACAGGCAAAGTGGCAGCAATTAATCAGGTGTTCCTTTTTTGCTTGTTTCTTGGAAAATTTCGTATTCTGTATGACAATGAGGAAACAAGTTTGCTATGAATAGTATTCTTCTGGACGTTTTTTAACAAACAAAATCTGTTTATTTTACAATACTTGATTCAATGCCTGATTAATCAATAAAAACTTCCATTTGAAAATGTAGCTTCTGTGGTCTGTGACATTTTGCATGGTCCATAGTAATGAATTGAAATCTGGGGGAACAAGTAATCCTTGTATAAAAATAAAATATGGTACTTTAATGTAGCAAGCAGTCTTAGATGAGGATTTTTCCCTTTTTTTTGAAAGTTTTGTGACTAGGAATAAAGTAACTTTATATAATGCTGTCTTTAACAAATGCAGATTTTTGAGGATATATCTGCTGAGATGCAAGCAATGAAAGTGGTAGATAAAGCCTGTGTTGGTACAATGATTGTTTCAAAAGTGTACTAAAAATTTGGGGTTCAGCAGAATTAGAGCAAACAATAACACAATCTCTTTAGGAGATAGTAGCAGCTCAGAGTTGTGTTGAGCTTGAGGAAATGGAAGGGTGGGGGACTATTTTTCTCTGAGACCAGATAAGATTTTCCATGTGTTTGACTTTTATGTGTTAATGCACACCTAATAGGGAAAAAAAATCATGCTAAAATGGGCTATATGTCATAAATTATTTACTAGACTGTCTCCAGTCTACTGTATTTTCCCATTGTTGGCTTTCAGAGAGCAATAAAGTTGCTGTTTTTTCTGCCATTAGTTTATTTTTTATGATTTTTGGGTATCCCATTTTTCCATTGCTCAACAAAGAGACTCTCAGTTAGCAGAGGGTCCCAAGGGTAGGATGCATAAAAGTCTCTCAGGTCTGGATACACTGTGAAAAGCAGGAAGTCTGCAAGTACAGGTGAAAACACATTTTTCATTATTTTAGCAATAGTAGGTCACTAAACACCAGTGTGCATCATCTGTTTTGGTCCTGTGTCTTAATTGCAAACACTATATTCTTTACACATTAGAAAATGCAACAGGACACTATTGAGAGCACAAATTAAAATGGCAGCTCATTAACCAGTTCATTTTGAGATGGCCAGACTTTATAGCTGAGGGACTGTGGGAGATTCCATTAAAATATTATTTAATAATACAGTAAATATTTCTTTTTTAATTGGTCTTATAAAACAGATCTCTAGGTAGTTAGCAGATTCTGCTTTTAGCTGCAGCAGCACAATTTTCAGATAAGCCCATGAAACAAAGTGAGGATTGCTAGTGGCTCTCATCTGTGTCACCGAAACTGAGGGTATTCATTTTAGTTGGAAAGGCTGTTTTATTTTGAGGTTGAGAAATGAAGAAGAGCTGACCCCCACAGTAAGTGCTCACCAGTACCTCAGCACTGGCCAGGGCACACCTGGCCTGAAGGCCCTCAGTGGGGCAGCTTTGGGGAGCTGGTGGTGAACAAAAACATGCACAAGTTGCTTATGGAGTGATGTGCTGGGAGTTTAACTGTTACACCATTTCTCATGTATTTTTACATACTGATTTTTATCATTCTGAAAGTGTGTCTTGAAATAGAGGGATGTAAAATAGAGTATTTTCCTGTCTTACTGAGTTGCTTGCCCATATACAAATGAGCACAATGTTTTTGTCTTCTCCACATTGAGAAAAATCCCACTCAATGCAAGTGCTGGTATTGAACTGTTTGTATTTAATATGCTTTCTGAAATTAAAGAAACCCTCTTTACATTTTAACTATTGATTTAGTACTTGATATAGTAAAAAATTAAGACACTAAAGAGCAATGATATTAACAATGATATTTCAGTGTGGGCTAGACCCTTGGTTTGAACTGTGACATTTAGGGCATCCGTGTACATAAATCAAATCTCTGTGCCAGAAACATTAAATTGTCATTCATGTGGGAGTTGAACAGTGCAGGTGCAAGTGTTTCCTTCTGAGGTAGGCTTTTGCATTAACTCCGCTCTTTGAGTGGAATATTCTGTTTCTTTAATTTTTTTAAGCTGGTTTTCTGATTCAAGTGCAGGCCCAGTTAATGAGACTGTAAATAATACAATCATTCATCATGTTACTAATTTTAGCAAGCCCTGCCATATCATGTGCCTCTGGCAGGTTGCTGAATACCTCAGCTGCAATCTCAACCTTTACAACCTCACCTCCAACATGAGGACTGATGCTTAAGATGCTGACCAAGTGTGTAACTTTCCCAGGTGGGATTCATCCTGCTTTGAGTAAGGAATTCCAGCACAAATCATGATACCAGTTAAAGGTGAGGGACACATATATTGCACAAGGGTGATATAGGAAAGATATGGGCTAGAAAACCATCACTGTTGAGGCAGTTCTGGTTTAGAAGTGCAAGAATATATTAGGAAGTTGTGAAGTCTTCTACTACATTGTGATCAACAGTGGCATTATTACTGCTGCCTGAGAGAGGAATGGAGTAGCAAAAGAGGGAGTTCTGGAGCAATGCTGAGAGAGATCACTCAGAGTGACAGGGCAGCTGAAAACCTGCCACCATGCCTTCCTTGGCACCATGCTGCAGCTCTCAAAGCAAGCCTGCACCTATTAATCCTTTTGTTCCAGCTCAGCCTCAACCCACATTCCCAAATGACAGGAAAAATAATATTGCAATTACATATTTGAAAGCCTAACCTGAATAAAAGCAGCAGGGCAGGGATGACAGCCCTGGGCCTTGATCCTCCTTTATTCACCCAGATTTTTACATCTGCTGACTTCAAAGGAGATAGTCCTGATTTACACAGAGGTAGGTACAAGACCATGAATCTTCACTTTCCAAAGAGTCAAACCCGAGTGGAGCAGGAGCCCCTGTGAGAACAGCTCAGACTTCCCAGTAAATCATGTCTTTGGAGAAAGCACTTTAGCTGCTAGCAAAACTTCAGTTTCTCATGAGCTGTTTCCCAAGGCCAGCACAGGTGTGTTTTAAAATGTCTGGTTCCTTTAAAATGTATGGCTCAGTAACATTCTTCTTGGGTGAATTGTTCAGGCAGTGCTTTGCTGTTTCCTCCAAGTGTGGGAACAATTCTCTTAGCAGGTGTTGTGTTACTTTCATAAAATCTTGAGATTGACAAGTTATAATATAATGCTCTATCTAGCATAAGACTATTGTTGTTGGACTTCCATTTAAAAAGAGATAATAGCTAAAAAGTTTAGAAGTCTGCTTCCTTTAACTGTCCTTATTTATATAGTTATTTGAATTCATGGAATTCATTTCCTCTTAAGGAATAGCACCTCATTTCTTGTTAATACACATGGACAGATAGTAATTAGGAGTATTCCTGAAAATTATTAACCCTTAAAATAGTTTATAATCAAACCTTTAAAAGGCAGCAGATGGAGGCTTTGTGTTTTTTATAGTCATTGAACAGGAAAAAAACAGCTATAGCTGTTTAGATCACTGAAAGGTAACAAATGACAGCTAACTGCTACATGACAGGATGGGAAAAGTTTTCATTAGCAATTTTTTACTTCACTCTCATTTTTATTTTACTTGGAAAACAGACTATTCCACTTGAAAATGTTTCTCTGATATTCTTCTATTTCTTCACCTTTCTTTTGTTTTCAGTCTCATTTTTAAATATTAGAGAGGCAAGAAGTGTGAGTTTCAAAAAGTTGGCTTTATTTTTTTTATTTTCTTTAAAATTACCATTTTCAGGATGTGGACAAGAAATTAAATGAGAAGTCAAAATACTAATGCAATATGGTAACTTGAATGTTGAGAATATTTTTGAAGCATAATTTTAAAAAGGAATGCAGATAAACCTGTCACTCTTCTACAATTACTGAATTATTTGGCTTCATTATTCTGGGCTTAATGGCATTTCTCTCTAATTAAAACAGCACTAGGAGATCTGATTAAGGAGCACAAGCAGAGAGATAGTAGATTATTTTAGGATAACCCTGGAACCAGCTCCCTTTAATAGCAGTAATTTATATACTCAACCTCATTAATGTCAGCTTGGGGGTTTGGGGGTTCTTTTTTTTATTATTAAATTGTGTGTCCTCACTAACAGTAGTTCATAGCCTAGAAGTATGTGTCTTTCTTTGGAAGCATAGATTCCAATCCCTTATTCTATTGGGATTCTATTCCCTTATGGAATAGTAACAAGGTCCTCCCTGTGGCAGGTGTGAAGGTGGTGCCAACATAGTGAGAACATCTCCCACCAGCAGAGGATTGTTTGATCTATATTTCTGTTATCTTGTTTTTGCAAGTAGAAGTGATGGCCAGAGGATGAAGTAGATTCATCCAAATTTGTAGGTATAGGAAGATGTGAAAAGCCCCTATTACATTAATATTTACAACCAGTAGCACGCACAACCCAAAATTAGAAATTAGCAAATGGAGATTTGTTCCTTTATACAGTCACATATCCTTTTAATTTCTTATAGTGACTGTGGCCTCTGTCTCAATTTTTCCATCAGTTTACATTGACATGCTCCTTGAACATTTCCTAAAGTTGGTGAGGTTTTTTACATATTAGGCTTTAGTCAAACAAACATTTTTTTAAAACAAACATTGCTGATATGATATCAGCAGGTTATGGTAAAGAGTGGATATGAGGAACAATTTAGAACCCAGAACAGGTACAAATTGAGTTCAGAATAGAATAATACTGCTTCTCTTCTAACAGTGTAATCACAGAATTGCATATATTTAGACAAACAGGATTTATTATTTAAGAAAGCGTCCTGAGTTATGCTGTAAATTCTAAAATATGTAAAAATTGAGGGAATTAGGATAAAACTTTGAATTACATACACAAAAAAAGAAGAAAAAATTTATTTCTTCACTATCAATAATTCGTATTTACCTACTTCCTTCCATAGGAGGGATGAAACAGGAATGATTTGTCTTTCCATTTTTATGAAGTCACTGCTCCATATTAGTGTTACTTGGAAATCTCTCAGGATGAAAAAATTTCATGTGAACAAGCACAGCATTCTCAATAATCTTGAAGTCTGCATAAGCCATTAGCCAGTTTTAAGGCTGGCAGTTACTCATCTGAATACTCACATGAATGCTTTCATGTGTATTTAACTGTGCCAGTAGAAACATGTAGCATTAAAAAAAAAAATGATCAATCAGCTACAAAGCTGCTACTTGGGTTAGGGAAAGGAAAATATTTTCATGGACCTGCACTCGTGCTGGTTCTCATGCACAGAGAAGCCCTAAGTCCTGACAACCTTTTATCTGTTTTTGGAATTCCAAAGCTCTGCAAATCGTGGTTGGTGTATATGGGTATAGCTCACCCCAGTGTCCCCTCTGTTCCAGTTGTTCCTGCTTCCCCACAAGCAGAAGGAGAAGCAAGGCAGCTCCCAAAGGTCTTCATCTCTAATTCTTCCCTGACATTTCTCCTGGCAGGAACAGTAAAGGCACAGGATGACACATCTTGTGTGGCAGCAGAATTACACTATGAAGTTTTAAGCAGGCTTCTCTGGGATAGAACCTTACCCCGCAGAAAGAGAGTCTGAACTGGCTCCAGTGACAAGGTCCAGACATTTCTTAAGCAGCTTCTGCAGCTTCTGCCACAGTCAGGAAAAGAAAGGGAAATCTGCTGCAGGACAGGCTATGTGAATGGCACATTTTCTAAAGTCATGTCCAAAAGGATCAAAGGGAAAATTTTAATGTAATTCATCCTCATAGGAAGGTCTGCATAAGGAGGATGGATACATTTTTCCATGTTTCCATGGAAGCAGGGAAAGGTGCCTCCTTATATGTCAGGTTTGGCAGTGCTTGTGGGCAGGCAGCCCCTCATTTGATTTGAAGAGTGAAAAATCATTTCCCCACAATTTTTCTTCTCATTCTCCTAAAATTTTGACAAATGGGAAGGAAAAATTGTCAAATCCCATTGCATGAAGGCTCATACCACTGATCTTCATTGTCAAAGTGAAGAAAATGCAAAAACTAACAAAGAAAAAAACTAAATAAAATATAATAAAACCTCTGTGTACAAAACTTTTATTTGTTACAACTGACATATCTGACATATTTGTAATCTCCTACTATTAAAACAGTAGCAGATTAAAAGTATGATTAAAAAGCAGATTAATAGAAACAAAGTGGAGGATTTATCATGACGGGAACTCTGGCAGAGAAAGAGAGAAATAGAGGTTAAAGGCAGAAAGAATATCCCTGGGAAATACACCTAGGAAGGTAAAACCAGAAAGCATTGCTACCACAGTGCAGTGAGTCCGGTAGACATTCACCTGGAAGACTGCAAATTCTGGTCTAAAAGAAAGATGATATTCAATAACACAGGATCAGATAAAGGCTCATCTTAAGAGAAAGCCAAGGAAGAGCTTAGATGATAAAGGGAGATGTAAATGTGGCAGTGTAGCCATTACTGTCTGAATAGAGATAATAAAGCAGTTGTGCTTTTAAATAGATGATTTGGGATAGCCCCAGGAAAGAAGAGTCACAGTTCTGAATAAAAGTTAAAATTGGTACAAGAATAAATTCAGTCAGCTCTTTTATGAACAGTTAGGTCTATAGAAATCAAGAAGTTTACTTTGTGGGAAGGCGAAAGGAATAAAGAAACCTTGCTGATTCGAGAAGAAGTTTTGTGTTTGAAATTAATCACACTTCAGTCTAAATGAGCAAGTATTAGTCACCTAGGTATAAGCATGTTTTCTAGGCATCTTCCATAAGGAATGGGAAACAAATAGCAACTGCAAATGTTCATTCCAGATATTCTAGCCACCCAACTCAGAACAGGGAGAATCTCACTCCATACCTGAACTTTCACCATTGGTCCCATGAGGAGTCACAGACACTAGAGTGTATTTGGTATCTGTCCTTTAGATAGCTCAAGTCAGATCAAGTGACTACCACTCTATATATTTAGAGAATGGTATATTGACATTTTTATTGTGGTGATTACAGAGTGAATCCATTTCTTTGGATATAATACAGGAATTTATAGACAGCTCCTGTCTTAAAATCCTGACTATGCTAAAGTAGGAAGGCAATTTTTCACTGGCCTCAGTGAAGCCTACATTTTGCCTCTTAAATATGAATCAGGTGAAATATTGTAGGTCAAAGTCATATTAAATCTCTCTCAACAAGGAGTGTTCTAGCCACTGAGCCCTGTTTTTTCAAAAGACATTTATAATAATGCTTCAGTAAAACTGCTATTCAGGCAGTGTCAATGAATAAATAAACTTTTACTTGACTACGGAACAAACTGGCTTGAGATTTTATGTGCTCATATGCATTCTATTGCACTGATCCTGTGCACAAGTATTTTGGATTCTAAATTGATTTGCTTACCTAATGCTGAAAAATGCTACACATTAATAGCATTTCCTGGGCCAAATGATTTGGTTGTGTTAAGGAACCAAGAGCTCCTCAGCAAAACTGTCTTCTAACAGAGAAGTAGTCGACAGTTAAAAGAAATGCATAAGAGACAGCTGAGAAATGCTGGCTCTTTAACATATAAGTTGGATGCTGAGGTCAAAAATACTTGGGTTTTTTTGTTATTTATTTAAATCTTCCTCAAAGGAAATGGGGCTGGTTCTCTGAAGGATAACTGGAAAGCCTTTTGATATTCACAGTAGATTGTTTTGGATGGCTGCCTTCCAGAAAATGAGAAGAAAAATATATTCTGTAGATGGATGTAAATATCCCCTTTTCCAGGGTTTTAACTTAGAATCACCTCTCTATATTGTATAGGTCACTTTCAGAGGTTTAATTTTATCTATTTCTAAACAGCATGAGTATTTATCTAATGATGCTGTGGTGAGGAATGCTTCATTCTTCAGGTTAATAGAGTGCACAGTTGAAAAAAACCTTCACATGCAAAGTATTGTTAACTGCTTGTTCATAGAAGGGAAGGAAATTACTCAGGCTGAAGAAATTTTGAAGTTAAGATTGTTGATGCTCTTCAGGCTGATAGAAAAAGAATTCTCAAATAAAAGGTGAAAGTTTCTGCAGGAAGCACTTTCTGTCAGGGAAAGGATTAACAATCCAGGAAGGTCAGATAAGGAAAACTGTCAGAAAATCACTCAAACAAGGGAAATATTTTGTAAAAGGTGTGACACAGAGGGAGTTGGTGGGGTTAAAGTCATGGTGAAAGGTGACGGAGATGGCCTGGTGTGCTTTGGAGGGACTTTGTGAGGATTCCTATTCACAGAGAATATGGGACTACCTTGTGAAACTGCTCTGGCCCATACTGCTTAGGGGTCTGGGAGCTGGAAGCAGCATCAGAAAATAATGGAACTGAAATACAAGTCAAGAGAGAAGGAACTGGGAACAGAAAATGTCACAACATGGAAAACTTCTGTAAAATGAGTCTTCTTACTATTGGATTTGTAACACTGATGAGTATTGAAATGGAGACAGCTTTTAAATTACAACTTATTTTCACAGGTTGTGCCAACATGATTTATTACTTCTGTTAATTTTAATTATTTGAACAAAAATGTTCCTCTGTTCCTGGTGTCTAAATCTCTATCTGCCCACAATCTTAATTTATGTCCAAGCAAGACCTTACATCCTTAGGTATTTCCCAGTCCACAGAAGCATGGAATTAGTCCTATCTCCTCATAAAATTTGGGCTCTTCTGCCAGCATGGTAAAGAAAGTGGAGACACATTTTCCTGTCTCTAGTTGAAACAGCCAAAGTTTTTTGATAAATGATGTAACCTGATGGGTACTGGGGCCTCTTGGTTTGGGAGCTTGGTGGGTTGATGTGGCAGAAGCAGTGATGGTTTGTCTTTTACATGGAAGCAGGCACTGATTAGGGGATTAAAATTCAGATGGTTTTGTGCTGGATTGCTGGAATGGAATGTGTCTAAAGGGTGGTGAAGATGTTTGGTGCTGGAGCATGAGGAAGTTTTGCCAACGCATTGGTGAGGTGTCACTGTCAAAGAAGTTAGTGAATGTAACCACAGCCACTGTAATTCACAAGGAATTTGACAAAATCTTTGTAAAGCTATTGTGCTCTGAATGGTGTTAAAATATAGAATTTATGTAAATGTAAATGAACTGATGTTTAGTCATTGGAATAAGATTTTACAGATGTATTGTGGGATATATATAAAAATGAATGTGTAATCTAGATTATTTGGGTTATAAAAGATGGTGCTTTGACCATCTGTCAGTGATTTGCTTTTACTGGGCTAAGGAAATTGTGGCTATGAAAAGAAATAGCAATTTATTAGCAAGTTTTGGATTGTATGAATGTATCTTGATTTTTGTAATAAAGAATGTTAACCCTACTGTTTAATTTCTGCTAAAGTAAACCAGTGAATTTCAGTAGCGATTTTATTTTGGGCAGAATAGATCTTAACAAAACCAGGAGTGGTAATTAAACCTTATCTAATCTCAGTTTAAGATAGTTGTCAACAGACACATAAGTGAATCATAGCCTTGCTAAGAATTCCCATTGAAGGGAGATCACAGAGCATATCCAGCTGGAGGCAGGTCTCCAGAAATGTATCCCAGAGGTAGCCCTGAGGAAAACAGGGAAGGCCATAGCAAGAAAAAACAACAGGCCACCAATGGGTGGATTTCTGACTTTTTATAATCAAGGATAAGAGCCCTCCTGGCAAAGGGAAGGGAAGGGCTGCCAGCCTCACACCTTCACATTAGGTCAAGGTGACTCCCTGAAACAAAGCCACCCACCCCTTCTCAGACAAGCTTTCTCCTCCATGTAATTTCATAGGGACTGGAACAATTCTGAAGGAAAATGATTTTGGGGTGTAGAACTATGGAAGTCAGGGGTAAAACAGCAAAGCTAAATTAGCAAATGTGCACAGGTAAGGAGAGAACAAAGAGGGATTTTACTGGGATTAATGTGCTGTGGGAAAGATGAGTGAAATGAAGTTCAGAGGATTTTTTCCTCTTACTGAATCAACATAGTTTTGGGATTATCTCTGAGTCATAAATTCCAATTAGCAGTAAAAAAAAACCTTTTAACTGAAAGACAGCTTTCCATCACATTCCCAGCGCCTTGCCTCAGAGATACCCATCTAAACTTGCTCAGAACTACTCATCAAGTTCACTCTGGAAGAATCACACCTATTTATTCACCTTTTATTACTGAAAAAAAAATATATATATATATATAAAGTACAAGAGCCAACAGAGACACAGGATTTATAAACTGTATACTTCTCTCCTGGCAGAGGCATGACATGATACATAGTTAATTGTTACTTGAATTAGTATGTTTTATGATCACTTCAGTCAAGGCAAGCTCTCAGTCTACAATTATTGCAGTCCTGTTCTGATGTCCCATCAGGTCTCCCAAGAGGGCTAGGCCAGGCCCCAAGTGCTGGAAATGCTGAATTTCCATCCATGCTCTCATCAGGATAAGTGCTGAACATGGCAGTCAGGCAATGCCTTCCTTGCCGTGCCTGAAGATCAATTCTACCTCCCCAGCTTTTTATCTCTGTTGTACCTTTAATGTCCCTAGTCTTTTTTTAGTCTTCTCCTGTAAGTCATGTTTTTTGAGATTTTTCATCATTTGCATTGCTTCCCTATGGATTCTTTTCAATTCATCCTACATTCCTTTTACTACAAGGGCAGAGTCTAAAAGTGAATACAAAATTCAGTGCAAGACTTTATCAGCTGTTTGGAGCAAAAGGATAAAAACAATCATTCAAGTCTGCAACCCCAAATACAGTGCTTGCCTTTCTCATGACACCAGGTAAAAACTGAATAACATTCCCCTCACAGCCATGGCAGCCCCTGTGGACTCAGGAGAACTACCTCCCCTCTGTCTTCACCTTGTCAGGAACATGTGTGGACTTAATCCCACCTCATCAGGGTCATGTTTGTTTTCAGTCCTGTGCTGCAGTGAATTTACAGTCTACATGAGCTGCAAATATAATAAACATATCCTCTGTTCCACATTTTGAGGTGTCTGGGAGCTAATGGAAAAATGTTGAGCCTGATATGAACCTTCTCTTCCTGTGACAAGTACCCATCAGTGCCACTGTTGTGACAATGTACTTGCTGACAGCTTCTCTCTGAGCAGTTTTAACAGCAGCTCCTATACCTGCTTGTGCTAGTTTCAGTCTGCTAACATTTCCCTTGTTTATTTGTAAAATTGCCCACAGGTCACAGTGCCAGAAGCCTCACTGAGAACTGACTGTGTGACAAGTACTGCCTCTTGGCTCTTCCTGGTTCTGGTTACCCTGCTGTAGAAGGAAACACAATTTGTCAGATATATTTGTTCTTGACAAATGCCCATTAACTTACAGTCATTTTGAAGCTATTTTCTATGTGCTTGCCAATTTATTTTACAAGAAAAGGCACATAAAGGGCTGACAATGATGACTGTTATTCTAAAAAAAAGGTGTGATTCATTTTCCAATAACTGCCAAATGCTTTCTTCACCTTTATATGTAATATAAACCACAAAAAAATTACTCCATGATCCCAGAGAGATGAAAGAGGAAACAGATATTCTATGCGCTGTCCAGTTCCAGCCTAAGACACTTAAATGCCCACATGTATGCGACTAGTGCCTAAGGATTGGCATCTATTGCCATTTGGGAAACTCCAGAGCTTAGGAGATAGCTACAGGGACTGGCAGATGTGCCACAGGATCTATGGGAGACTTGGCTTCTCCAGAGCAGCAGGCAAGATGCTCTGGATGTGGAAAATGGCCCATAGTTAACAACTGGGTCATTCCTTGGTTAACCTAAATTAATTGACCTTAATTTTGTCATTTTAATCTCTAATGGAATCTCTGCTCGTTTAGTTTTATGCTACAGTTGAACTTTGGTTCCCTGTTTTTGGCTGGCCCTCTTGGGCATATCATCTTGAAGCTCAGGCTAAAAGAAAAAAAAAAAAGCCCTTTTTTTCTTTCTTGTGTTCCTACCCTTTTAGAATATGGTTATTCTTACATATAGGGGGAGGGAGGAGGAGAATCTTTTCCCTTTGCTATAGACTCCTTGGAGCAGACTTATCAGTATCTCAATTTAACTGCCTTTGCTCCAGTAATTACAGTGAGTCAGAAACCATTCCCAGCACTGCTGCTTGCATCTGAATTACTGGTGCTCTCTCAAGTTTTTAAAAGTCAAGGAGCAAAGAAAAGGGATCCTCATACTGGTCTGAGTTTAGAAAAGGCCTTTAGTGGATACAATGAAGCAGTAGCTTAATCTAGGAAGAAAAAAGAACATGTGAAAATAATCCCATACCATTGGGAATTAGGACAGCACTGTGATGCAAATGGAGACTCTTAGAATCAGAAAAGAATATGCATAAGGAAAAAGAAAGAAAAGGCTGAAGTTATTTTTGCTTACACAGAAGAAGCTAACAGGCAGCTTTTATCATACATGGAGAAGTATAAAGCAGAAGGCACAGATTCCTCCATCTCTGTCATGTGATTTATTAATTTAAGTCCAGCTCTCTCTTACTGCAGTGGCTGGAGGTGCACAGAGGGTTGGTGCTGCTCTGCTCTGCACACATTGCAGGGGAGGAGATGGATTTGCATTCACTGGGGGACCAGGTGCCCTGCCTGGGAAAGGCAAAGGGCCCTTTCTGCACCCAGGCTCTGCTCAGGATGCAGCCACATCCCGGCCTGGCTGTGCCATCTGCTCACAGCCTGGAGAACTGAGGGAAGACCCTTGTGCAGCAGCAGCCCCTTGTCCCTGCAGCAGCACCCAGGCTCCTGCCCTGGCAGCTCCCACAGCTGGGGCCATACAGGCGTGGCACGAGCACAGTGACATCAGCGGGTCACCTTCAGCCTTAGCAGGGAGCGTTTGCCTGGCAAGGACCCATTGCACCATCACTATGTTCTCTTCTCTCTATGTCCACTTTGGCAAAAGCCCAGTTTTTAATCTAGCCGTGTCCCAGCCAGTTGTGCTCTGGAATCTGTAGAGCTGTGCTAACACCAGACTTTCCCAAATTAATGTACAAGGTTAGGAGGCAAAGTGGAAGCAGTGAGTTGCATTTGCTTTTTTGAATGTAACTCCCATGCTAGCAGAGCCATGCACTTCCTGGCTGAGGCAGGCTTACAGAAGACATTCCCAAAGTGTGGATCTTCTCTATCCATATGTTCATCCATACTTCAACCAATTAACATCTCATCCATCAATGTAAGTCAAACAGTCTTTATAAAACAGATTTCAAAAAAACTCACATTTTCTTAAGTGTCCTGGCAACAAGACTCCACAGTCTGCTTTGGAGTTTTTTTGGGTTTTTTTTTTTTTTGCCTAAAAAAATATTGAAATTGCTGAAGAAAAATGCATTTAAAATGTTCACAAATTATTCAAATTTTGTTTAAGGATAACTTAATTCTGAAAAACTAGAAAGGCATGATTCCTGAACAATGAACAGCTAGAACATTATAAACATTCTTAACTGTGTTCTATTTACTATGAATCTCACAATTTTCATTGCAAAGCTGTTTAAATTAGGAAGGGCTAATATTTCTTTTTCTTTTATTTTTTTTTCAGTGTCTCTGGGCCTGTTGGAGGTGGCTTTGAAGGTTTCAGTAGGAGACTCTTTATATTGAAATTGTTGTGATGATTAATGTAACAGAATAATGGTTTTGGAAAATAAGTCTTACCTTAATTCCACTTTTAATTAATTTAGTTTCAGCTGCATGTGAAAACACAAAATTCAATATTTAAACAAATTTAAAATTGCTTTTTTGGAGTGACAGCTATACCTGAAAAAATGGAAGTGGAAAAATCTTTAGAAGAATAATGTTTTTAGAACTTGACATTATACATATGATTTCTTGGGAAAATAAAAGAAACATTGGGGGGAGAATTAACTTTTTTAGCTTTCTGTTTAAACCACCAGATAATTCAATAAACAGAGAAGCACCTTGCTCTGCTTGTCATATTCTCAGGTTTAATCTCAGCTGTAAGAAGCTAGTCCATTGTTAAGACTGAAAACCTCTGCTGTGAAAGGGAAATACAATAACCTTTGCTGCAGAGACACCAGGTGTTTTTCCCTAACGAGCACTGTTGATAGAGTGATGTTTAATCTTTGATGGCAATATCTAGGATGTATTGAATTGCAATAAAACCACTTTCCAGACACAGTATCTTCCAGGATTATAAAATATATGGACAAACCATATGATTCTGTATAATGGCATTAAATGCTACCTTGTAGTGCCAGGGACATTTGGGTATTGTTGTAATTTTGATGTCTTACACAGGAAAAATCCAGAATGTTTGATAGCTTTGTTAAGTGGCAAGATTTTGTTCCTGCATATCAGGTCAGCAGTAAATTCTTACCTTATTACTGTTATAAAACTCA